GGCCAACATAAGCTCAATGCACCCCCTCCACGGAGCCTCTTCCACCCCACCCAGCCCTGAACGCCAATCAGAATTGATTGTTCCCCCGTCACCCCCTATTTTGAGCATAGCTATCTGACAGCACTTACCACATTCTCTTGTACTTAGTTCTTTTAAAAATCAGACTTTCAGAATACTTCAAATGGTTCCTAAGCAGAGAATATATTTTATAAACCCCAAACCTGCCTTATAGTAGCTGCTCAGCAAATGTTTATTGAATGGCTTAGCGAGTGACCGAATCAAATACCCTTACAATTACAAACTACTTCTTTATTTGGCCTCACGGCACCCCTCATATGGGAAAGAAAAACATTACTGTCCTCATTTTACAGACGAGAACATGGCCACATTCACTCACGCTCCCATTCACTCACGTAACTGATGTTCATTGTACGTGAGTTTCGGTCTAGAGGACAGCTTCTCACACCTGAACGTGCACACAAGTTCCTGGGGAACTTGGTAAAATGCAGATTCTGATTCAGCAGATCTGGGTGGGGCCGGAGAGTCTGCATTTCTAACAAGCTCCCAGGTGACACCCATGCTCCTGGGGCAAGGGCCTCACTCTGAGGCTTGCAGACCTGTCAAAGTGGCTTAGAAAGAGAAAATATCCTACCAGCTTGTGTATATAGCAGGAGCTAGAGTCTTCCTTAAAATCTTAGGAAGCAGAAAGAATAGAAAGCGTTATGCCCATTTTACAGGTACGGAAACTGAGGATCGGAGAGACTAAGCAACATCTCCAAGATCTCATGCAGGCCTCCTGACTCCAGTTCAGTGCTCCCTTGACTGCCACCCACTGTACCGCGTGCTGGGAGAACTCAGAGGTGAAGGCGCCACGTCCCACTCTCGGGAAAACGACAAGGGAGATGCACGCGCCCCTGGAACTGTAACACAAAGTCGACTGAGAGAAGAGCCGGGAGTCCAGAGTCAGGCAAGCACGTGCCAGCCAGATTTTGCCCAAAAAATATGCCACATCTTTGTTTTCTACCCACAGCCCAATTAGACTGCAGATGGGGTCTTCTTCCATCAACCCAATCCCATTAAAAGAAAGAAAAAAAACAGTGGCTTTAGGATTTTTCTTTTAAGCCCCGAACCTCTTCAGTGGAAAGTGCTGCCCTTCCGACCTGTTGATGTAATTGCCATAATTGAAGATTCCAGGCCCCCATGTGGGTGGACAGGGCCCCATTCATCCATCGGGTCAGCGAAGTGTAAACCTGCTGAGTCCTTCAGATGCCCCGGCCGCAGCCTCCCCCTCCCAACCCCCTCCAGCCCTGCAGGCTGGGCTCCCCGCGACGCCAGGGCAGCCAGGCCCAGGCTGGTCCCTCTCTCGCTCTGGGAACGGTGCCTAATTAAAGGGTCTGTTCTCATCTCCATGGGGCCGACTTAAGGCCTCCTGACAGTAATGAGAGCCACACGTGCGGGGCTGGGGGGTGGGAAGGACGGCCCCCCTGCTGTCTTAGCACCCTATTAAACAGCAAGTCACACACACACACACACACACACGCACATGCACATGCACACACACACGTTGCAATTCTGCAGTAATCACCATCAAATCTTTAGAGCTACAGGGAGCTGCTCCAATTCTGAAAGAGGAAGGAACGAGAGAGAGGAAATAACTTGCCCAAGGGCACCCAGTGAGTCAGTGTGGCTGGACTCAGGTGTCCTGCTATACCTCACAGCCCAGACTTCCCCTTAGAGGATGGGGCTCTCCACTGCAGCCCCAAGGGAGCAGATGTGGGGGGAGGTGGGGGAGGGGACAGACTCCCCACTCACTCTTCTGGAGCAGCCAGTTTCAGAGCGCAGGCCCCAGCAGAGCAGAAAGGAACAGTTAGCTGCGGCTGGGGTTGTTGGCATCTCAGGACACCCTTTGATCACACGACAAAAGCAACCTCGCTCGGAGTGGGACATTCACTGCTGCGGGTGGATCCATACCTAATCCTCACCTCCCCAGCGTGAAAAGGAGCCGGGCTTGGTAGCCCTGTCTCACTTTCTTTGTGTCTCTGTCTAAACTCTTACCCCTTCCCCTCCCCCACACCCTCTCTTCCAGCCCCACCCCCACCCCAGAGCCCACGAGCCACCTGAACAAGCTGTTCTGCCACCCGTTCTGTCTGTCTCTCCAACAGAGGAACTTTGCACAGTGCTGAGCATATAGTCAGTTCTCAGTAAATATTCATTAAAGATAATAAAAGTCAAGTCACTGTTTGCTCCAACTCTAAGTCATATTCATGCATTGTTTTAATCACAACTTTACTTAAAGAGGGCCCTGAGGTAGGGTAAAGCAGAAATGCTGACAATAGCATGGACCAAATCTCAGAGATACTGGCTCAGTAATAAAGACAGTGAATGAAGGGGACAGAATGTTTCAGTGGTGTCCAGTTCCAGCTCCTTGGGACAGTGATGAATCGCAAGAAAGAAACTGATGATATCCTGGGTACTAACATTATCATCTGGAGACCCAGGCTTCTTCTAGAACCCCTGTCACTAGCATCTCTACTCCCAAACTCCCTCTTTCTATCTCCCAATCCTCTATGCACACTAGCTAACAGACTCATGGATCTCACCACTTGTATCATGTGATACCCCTGCTTGAAAGCCATCCATGGCTCCCTATTTCCTCTGCATGAAATCTGCATGGCCTGGCTCTCAGGGACCTCCTCAGCCTGGCTTGGCCTTAACTCAACACATTGTTTCCCACTGCTCTCTAGACCACTTCTTCCCCCTTAGTCAAGTTGGTCTCCTCATCCAGCTCAGACAGTGTTGGACAGGGAATGGGGATGAAGATGAAATTTGGAGCCAGGAGACCCAGATCTGCCATTTGACCTCTCTGAGCCTAGTTCCCCATGGGTAAAACGGGAATGATAACAATATTCACCTCATAGGGTTGGCATGAGGATTAAGCGGTGTAATGGGTGTTAAAGAACTTTACAAACTGTAAAGGGCTAAGGAAACGGCAATTGTTCGTCTCTAGTCACGATCAGTCCCTCCTCCAGCTCTGCCTTTGATCTCATGACTCTTCCACGCAGTGGGCAGTGGAACCCAGCTCTGGCCCTGCCACACAGAGAAATGGTGGCTGACAAATCCGGTTCTGACTGACTCCAGCTTTTAAGGCCTCATTCGTCAAATGTCTTGGTTTGTTCATTGTGTCTTGCTCATGTTAGCCTTACAACTCCAAGCTTATGGTTACCTACTTGTATGTAATATAAAACAAAAATTCATGTTGCTTACAATTGAAAAATAAGTACATTTATAACATCAAAGCTCAAGATACAAATGGAGGGAAAAATCAGACACATCACTGCAGGAGGAAAAGGACAATTATAGCAGACATCCAGGTTAAGCTGGCTACTGCAGTTAAGTGCCCTTGGCAATGATCCTCGTTTTCCAGACTTGCCCTCCTCAGCCCACAAAGGGGGAGGGTTGGAGTGGAACCCTCCCATCTCTGTCTGTCTCTCTCTCTCTCAGAGAGGAGGACTAACCAAGGAAATGAGTGCCAGCAGGGGGTCGCTGAGTCAGGGGCACTGTGATGCAGTCACTGCCTCATGCTCCTTGGTCTCACTGGAGCAGGACAGGCTCCTGCTCTCTGCTCCCTGAGTTTCTATGATAAGCCACCTGCCCATGGAATCACCCCTCATTGTCCCCCCAACCCCGACCACCACCACCCAGCAGGACGGTCACCATTTCCCCACTGCTCCTACCCCGCTAGGTTTCTAGAAGTAGACCCACAATCTTTTCCTTGCAGTAGCTTAATAAGTAGACTCAGCATCTTCTGGGCAGAACATGCAGGTCCCAATGTCTAGCTCAGGGAGGGAATAGGAGGTCCCACTTCATTCCCATACAGAGGTTAAAAGAGAACCTGTAGTTTTGGAAGCTTACTTCACCATCAGTTAAGCTAATAGGCTGATGGGCATTTGGCTAATGGTCGGGTCGTCTTCCCAATCACCCTGAAAAAGGAGGAGAGATGGTTTTAGAGTCCTTACTTCCAGCAAACACGGATGCGAACAATGAGCTTCTGATAGCCAAGGTATCATTATTTGATCACAAATGGAAATACGGCTGAAGTTAAAGAGGAATATGTCCTGATACAAGGGAACATGAGTAGTCCAATGGATGAGGTCATCAATAATGCTTTAGCAGAAGATGCCAAAAGAGTCTTTTTTGTTTTGTAATAGTCTGTAATAAAAGTTAAAGACATAGTATTAATTTATAATTCAACGTAAAGGAACTAAACTAATGTAATTCAAACCTATTTCTGTGTGTTGACCCAATCAGATATCAGGATAGCACTTAACTCATTGTCTTAATCATGTTTTCAGCAAGAATAAATAGCAGACAATTTAGAATTAAACTCATGCACTCCCATATTCTATGGAAATAAAAACTGGTATGACCTTTCGGAAAACAATTTGGGAGTATGTATTGAGAGTCTCAATAATGCTCCTCTCATTAGCAATTCCACTTCTGGGGATCTATCTTAAGGGAAATAAATTTTTAAAAAGTTATATGCTTAAATGTATTAAGTAAATCATGGTATATAAATGATGAAAGATCATGCAGTGATATGAAATGAAGTTTATGTGGCTATCATGTTAAATAGAAAAAGTGAATAAAATTGTATATGTACAATGATCATAACCATGTAAAATCACGAAAGAAAAAGAAGAAAAATATGAGGCTGGCCCAGTGGTGTAGTGGTTAAGTTCGCATGCTCTGCTTTGGCGGCCTGGGGTTTGCCAGTTTGGATCCCGGGCACAGACCTGCACACTGCTCATTAAGCCACGCTGTGGTGGCATCCCACAAACAAAATAGAGGAAGACTGGCACAGATGTTAGCTCAGGGCCAATCTTCCTCACCAGAAAAAAGAAGAAAAAAAAGAAGAAGAAAAATATCAAATAATGAGGATGCTATCTTTCACATTTTCTGTATTTTTCTATTTCATTAATGAGCATATATTATGTTATAATTGGAAATAAAATAAACTTTATTGTTAATATGTATATATATATCAGCTGTCCATAGATCCTCATACTTTAGATACCAGCCTGGAAGACAACAGAGCTGACATTCTGTTCCAAAAATTGAGAGCTATACTTACTGCCTCACCCTGGGGAGGGGGCATCTCACTCCCACCCACAAGGACACCCACTGTTGCTAGTGGGCAGCATGTCCCTTGTTTTGAACTAGGAGCTTTGGAGGTGACTGGACACATTTGGCCATCTCAGGGCAACTGTGGGCTCCCTGAGGGCAAGAGACAGATTCCTCCACTTTTTCTATTTTGCTCCCAGGGCTCGACTGTAGCTTGTCACCTGCCAGGAGACCAGCGAGTCGTAATGATTTGTCTAGCTGCTTCACTAAGAACGTCACAGGGACTCGAGCCATAGTTCCTAAATGATTGAATGATGAAATAGATATCAGTTAACCTCTTGACTAGAAGTACAGTTATGCATCGCTTAACAACGGGGATACGCTCTAAGAAATGCATCATGAGGCGATTGTGTCATTGTGCGAACATCACAGAGTGTACTTACACAAACCTGGATAGTATAGCCTCCTACACATCTAGGCTGTATGATGCTAGTCATATGGGACCACTGTCACATATGCAGTCTGTCGTTGACCGAAATGTCCTTACGTGGAGCATGACTGTACTGAAAGAACGAAAAAACTCCTACATATGCTTCCAGTTACAGCTCAGCAGTCCCCGCTCGACCGCTCTGCCCTTGCTGCACCCACCCCACCCCACATGCCCCTGTGGCTTGGTACAGACCCCGACTGCACACTTGACTCATTCCAGCCTTGAAGCAATGTGTTTGTCTGACTCCCTCACTTGACTCTGAGCTCCTCGGGACAAGGTTGTACATTCATTTTTTTAAATCTGCCTCTAAGGTTATTAGTGCAGAGTCTGGGACATAATTCATTCAACATGACACATAACGGGGTTCAGCCAATGTTTGCGAATGAAGGAAGAAATGAACGCAGGACAAGCATATCTGAGTACCAACGAGCCATCCAGCCCTAGTCAGGGGCAGTGTCTGTGGGCACTGAGGACCCCCGGGAGAATTAGCCTAACTCCCAGCACACTTCATTGCAATCCATCGTTTCCTTGTTTCTCTTCCTTTAGATCATAGCTGCCACAAGGGCAGAGGCTGTGTCTGTCTTATTCAGCCCAAACTCCAGCAACTCACGTAATACCAACTCAATAGATTTCTGTCAAAGGAACAAATGGATGGTAAGGGAACCCCATCTGCAGTTTTGATTTCCTCCAGCTGTGGTTACTCACTGAACAAACGGCACGTTACATGTGGTGGTGTGCAGCCTGCCCCTTCACTGCCCTTTCTCCCGTTTTTTATTGAGAGCTAAGGAACACTATCGAGAACTGGTGAGGGCTTTCTCTCCTCAGCTGAAGATCACCTGGAGACTTGAGCAAGCGCTGTAGCAGGTCCTCCACAAAAGAAGCCTCGAAGGAGAACGTTAACTCTCCCCGAGCAGGTGGCTGAGCAACAGGCAACAGAAACCATTCACCCCAGTGATGTCCTCAGAGTCATACGGAGGTCTTCGAACCTCCTATACAAACGATTTCCTTAGAAAAGACAAGGGGAAACAACAAAAAGAAAGGAGATCCCTGAAGCTTTGAGACGAAATCAGTTACGGGACATAGGGCTCTATCACATTTTGCAAAAAGACGTCATAGGCTGTCCCTTGCTCAGCCCTACAACAGCCAATGGCTCAGTTAAAAATGAATTTATAGATATAGGGGGCTCTGAGCCCCTACCCCAAGGCCAGACTTCCTTCCTTATGCATTCACTGACTCCAGCTCTCATTGGAAACATCTTTTTTGATGCAACAGCCTAAAGCATCCTGAAGCAGACATTTTCCAACTTAGTACCTAAGAGTCAACATGCAGACTCCCCAGACCCATCCCCAAGACTCTGGCTCAGTGGGTTTGGAATGGGAGGCTAGAATCTGCATCTTAACAAACTCCCCCAGGAAATTCTGAGGTCTAAGGCCTATGCTTTGAAAATATCGCTCTTCTAGTCCCAGGACAAAACTCCCCTCCCTTCTTCCCCAGGCCACTGGCTGAGCTCCCTTCTTCCCTACGACTCTCTCAGCCCCCTGGACAGACATCTCCTAAGGCACAAGTCACACTGGCATCAATGAACTGTGACATTGTCTTTATTTCCCCAACACATCACACAGTGCATGGCCTATAGGGGCATTTAGAAAATGTCTGTTGAATGAATGAATGAATAAGTCAATGAATGAGTGAGAAGATGAATGAATTTAACATCACTGAAAATAATGAAATCCCTTTCAGTTTCCCCCCAATTTTCCCAACTCTAACTTGAGGAAACCATGACTTACTCTTCAAGATCATTTTTCGTTCTTCTCATCTTCGTGGTGATCTTTCAGAGACATTAACTGGGAATCCAGGACCAGCGGTGAAAAGCAGTTCCACAAATAAATAAAACCTAAAGGAGGCCATCTGGTCATCCGCCAAAGCCCAGAGAACATTGTTTTCCACATCAAAGATTTGTGGATCACAGAGTTCCATAAGTGTTGCTGCTGTGGTACCCATGCCGGAGAAATGGTGCCAGAACCTTCTTTTCCCCGCAGGAAAGGCCTAGTAAGGTAGGCCAGATTTAGGGAAGGATGGAGGAGCTAATGGTTTGCCCTTCTCCCCATCTACTGCTGAGGGAAGCCGTGGGCTGGAAATCCAGGTTGGGAAGTTAATGGTGAATTTTGAATTAAAACACAATAAGCCCCTCATTTCTTCCCCATTGATATCTTCCATTCTTAAGGCTGAAAAAAAAAGACCCCTTCCCCCTCATGCAAGACTGCCCAGCCTTAATCAGAACCTTAAGCTGCTGTCACTCACCCATGTTGTAGGCACAGTGACAATGATCAGGTTAGGTGTTCAGAACAGTATGATGTAAGTGGGGCTTGTGATGAAAGAGTTGCTGACAGACAGTGCAAGCCGACACCATGAGAACTGCCTGGGCTATGATGTCATTTGCTTTAACAGGTAGGCTGGTCTGTTTTCTTAGCCCTGACATTCGATGCCCTGCCAGTTATTCAATAACCAGAAATGAGGTGGGTCCTACAAATTCCTCAATCTCCTTGAGGATTGAGGGGGAAGGGCCATGCTTCCTTGATCAAGGGCACCAGAGGAGCAGCCAGAGCTGGAAATCTGCCCCCAGGAGGATGGCTCGATGAAACAAAGCAAGAGGAAGATATGCAGAAGCAAGAGGCATCATTTCTGTGGAGAGATGGACAATGACTCTGCACCATATTTAACCCAGATAATCATGCCCCCTCCTAGAGGGGGAAGTAACAGTCACCGTCACACTGAACAGTATGCAAGCTCTCAGGTCAAACTTAGCAGCCTACTCTCAGCAAATTAGCCTTAAAAAAGATGAAGACTAAGGGGGGAGCTTTTTTTGTTTGTCTGGGGGGAGGATGTTTGCTTTTTGATTTGTTTGTTTCAGTATCGAATATATGCCACACATATAACCCAACATACCAAGCTTTTAGAGCTTTAAATACATGAAATATTTTGATGAGAAACTATAGTTAACGCTTCCAAAAAGTAAGTTCAAGCCAAAGAGCTTTTCCCATGAACGTTTCACAGAAGTTAAAGGAAAAGAGGTCATAGATTTTCCTTTTACGCATAATATCGAGGGTGGGGTGGTTACCAGTTTCCCAGAGCTGCCATAACAAAGTACCGCAAACTGGGGGGGCTGAAAACAACAGGCATTTCTGGTCTCACAGTTCTGGAGTCTGGAAGGCTGACATCAAGGAGTCAGCTGGGCCACGCTCCCTCGGAAACCCATAGGGGAGAATCCTGGCTTGCCTCTGCTAGCTTCCGGTGTTTGCCAGCATTCTTTAGAGTGCCTTGGTTTGTAGATGCATCAGTCCATCCTCTGCTTCCATGGTCGCACGGCCACCTTCTCCCTGTGTGTCTCTGCTTCTGTGTCTCTTCTCCATCCTACTCCAGTTTGACCTCATTTTAGCTAATTACATCTGCAACAACCCTGCCACAAATCTTTAATAATCCTTATTTCTAAATAAGGTCTCATCCTAAGGTACCGGGGGTTAGAACTTCAATATGTTTTTTTCAGAGGACACAATTCAGCTGATAACAGGTGACAACAACCAACAGTTGTAATCAGCCCAGCTCGTAAGAGGAAAACCCAGAGCCCACGGCGTCCACACAGCTCCAGCCAGTCCTGGGAAGGCCCTGAGCTACGGGTACATCTGTGCTTCCTCCCAAAGAGGGGAGCAAGCCATTCATTCACGAATCCTCTCAGCAAATATTCACCAAGCTCCTACTAAGTGTCCTACACGTGCTGGCTGAGGGTTAGAGAGATGAGACAAGGCACCGGTTATCGGCGAAGGATATTAGAAGTAAGACACTGGGTAGTTCTGTAATTCTTTGTTCGATTTTTGTTCTTTGAACTTTGGTTCAACTTTGCTCCAGCAGTTTAAGGGCAGATACTCTGCCCCAGGCAGTCTGTGCACCAGGTCCACGTGCTCATAATCATTTGTGGAACTGAGCTGCAGGGAGCCTTTGAAAAAAGAGAAAAATAAGCATACAAATGGTTAAAGAACAATGTGCTCCAGGTTACAGGAGACAAGGTCCAGAAGCCAGGGAGGCACAGGGAAGAATCATAAGATTCTAGAGTTGGAGAGAATTTTTCAGAGCATCTTAGCTGGTAGTTTTCAAACTTAAACACAAAAACCAATGGAAGACTTTCTTTGAACGGAATCTCGTGAGGCCGTGCAATGCGTGCACAGGCAGAAGCCGTCCGTTCTGGTAGGACGATGAGAGGGCTTGCAAGGCCCCCCTGCTCAGCGCCACCTCCAGGCTCTGACCCTGCACTCCTAGGCAGGAAACTCCTCCTCCAGCATTGGCTGGAAACGATTAGACCACTGATGGGGAAACTGAAGCCCAGAGAGGTGGCAACGAATGCCATCTTCGCGTACACCGTGAGTCTACAGAGGAGGTCGGACCAGAACTCAGATCCTTCTCTAACTTCCAGTCCAAAGCTTTCTGCACTACCTCACGTTCTTAGGGTAAAGTGGACAAGAAGATGGGGTTTCACAACCCTCTGGTCTCCCTTTAAATCCAGACAGACTCTCCTCTCCTGTGGCCTCCTCCTTGGCCCCACATTGCATTTCCTGGCAGGGACATACACAGCACTGGCTCCTGGGCAGGAACTCGGATCCTCTTCCCCTGGAGGCAGCGGAAGGGACTCAATGACTCTCTGGGTCTCTCCCGGCCCAGATACTGCAGCTGCAATTAGGCTGCCTTGCCCTATAAGCTGAGGAAGACTTTAAACTCCCTGGGAATTAGCCGGCTCCCATGACGGCCCCCATGCCACTGGAGAGGAGAAAAACCAAGGCTTTAAAGGCACAAACAGGGAGTCGTTTCTCCACAAGATTGCTCTGAATCCAGCTTTTTCTGATCCACATAACTGACAGAGACAGAAGGAGTTGGGGAGACGCATAGGCTTTCAAAAGGAGATTTCCAACTCAGTTTGGGACAGTTTAGAAATCCATACCCAAAAAACAACACCTGAAGCCCAGATTTCTTAGCCCAATCGACCCAACCCTGGGAGAACCTTCCAAGGAGGCAGGGTCTCCTCACGAGGTGTCTTGTCCACAGCTGAGGTCAGTTTGGCCTCCGACCATTGAAATTACTCTCCAAGACTCTCTGCCACCTTCGAGGAAGCTGACTCCAGAGTCACCTTCCTGCCAGTCAAAGGAAGGACAGCGGTTTGGAGAAGTCCCCAGAAAGTGGTGCCTGTAGGAGTGACAACAGGCCTTGACGTGTGTATTCAAGACCTCTGGGTTCCAGTCTGGGCTCTGCCACTTACTACGAGGTGACATGGGACCAATCTCTTGACTACTCTTGAACCTGCCTCGCCCCCCTAAATTGGGGGTTTACTCACCATTCCTTCAACAGGCACTCATTGCATACTGCTCGTGTGCTGCGTGAGGTGTAGAGCTGGGGTAAATTTGCCCCTCTCCACTGCACAGGCTCTCGTGAGAATCAGACTATCAGGCATCTGAGAGTGGCTTGTCAACGGTGGTGATATTAAAATGCTGTTTCCACTGTAAGACGACCATGGAGTGGGAGACATTTCGCTAGCATGTCCTTTACTCCTGCAGACCACATTGTCTAATTTTATGCCAAAATAATGTGATTCGATCTCACATTTTTCACTACTTTCCATCACGCCACCCATTTTGATGGCTGAGTTGGCACCTGAAAAACCATGAGCCATGCAAACAGGCATTCTTCAATTTTTCTTAAAAATGGTGCATGGCATGGACTTTGCCTTATTCATCCTGCATTCCCAGCAGAGCCAGGCACACAGTAGGTACTCAATAAATATGCTGAAGGAATGAATGAATGAATGGGAAATCTTGCCTCCAAAGAGGAGAATTAGTAAATTTAGAACTAAAAGGAAGGACAACTCTTCTATGAGTCTCTTTTACCCATCTGCCAATAGATCAGCATCCTCTCTAACACTTTCCTGGCTACCGTGAGTGACTCCAGGTGACAGGTTCCCTCTGTGCCTATGGCATGAAAACTCTCTGGTCCAGTGGACATTGTGTGTTGTCCAGCAGCCAGGCCCAACTTCCGTCTCCTGACATCTTCCTGTTACACCAGTTGCACAAAAGGGAGTGGGCGATGCGTGTGTCCCCTGCCACCCTCATGCTAACTGCCAGGGCCAAGTGGAATATTTTCATCCAGGCTTTCTCCCCCTCTCTTTATTCTTTTAAGCTTCTTCTAGTGATAAAAGCTGAAGCAAATTGAAATTGGCAGCTCTGTGGTCTTCCAGCAATAGGAAAAGTACTAGAGATCATGTGAACCACACTTTTGAAAACTTAAAAAAAAAAATCTAATCTTGCCTCAATAAAAACGACATCATGTCACTGTGATCGGCAGGGGGAAAGACTTGAAAGTCGCTGGCAGTGGCCCAGCAGAGTTCAGGGGTTCTGCTGGCTGTGCTGAATTCCCACGGGAAAGGTAGAGGGAGCAGACTGCCTTTCAGGTGAGCCTCTGAGCCACAAGAAGGAGTGGGGAGGGAGCATAAAGCTCCCCCCCAAAACCTCGCTGTCATCTCCGGGGCATTCCTGCAATCGCAGCTCAGGGGCTGGCCTCCTCCGCCCCTTCTCCCACCGGCCTTTCTTCCTGATGTAGCTTTTGGCTGTGCTCCTCTCTCTGGCTGGCTGATTTTGAGGGATAGACAACAGCCAACCTGGGAAATCTCGATGACAACGACTCTCCCCGTGAGGGCACAGACCCGGAGCCAAAGAGGGTGGTACCAGATGCCCCAATTCCACTCGAGTGTGGAGTCTTTGCAAACTCACCCCTATGTGGTCTGAGCCAAAGACAACAATAAACACTGCAGGTTGGCTGTGCTGCAGCCGGCCCTTCTGCCCGGGAGCTCCTTTAGCCCTGGGAGGTGCAGTCCTGGAGGCTGGCTGGTATTCACAGTGCCTCAGCTTACCTTCAATTGGTAGTTATTGTCTGCTACCAGCCACTGACTGTTCATTAGTAATCCCCGGATGGGTATATAAGGGAAGGAGAAGAGTAATTGCCTCTGGGACAGGGTTTGCAGGATGGGGCCACAGATGAAAGGGTCACTTTCAGGATCAACCCTTTTGTACTGCTTGAAATTTTTTTTTTTTTTGAGGAAGATTGGCCCTGAGCTAACATCCGTGCCCATCTTCCTCTATTTTATATGTGGGACGCCTGCCACAGCATGGCTTGACGAGCGGTGTGTAGGTCTGTGCCTGAGATCTGAACCAGCGAACCCCAGGCCACTGAAGCAGAATGTGTGAACTTAATCACTGTGCCACAGGGCCAGCCCCATCGAAATTTTTAACTATACGCACTTTCAAGTTAAATCAACCAATAGATAAAGAGACAAAAATCCATTGGCAGTAAATGACCCCTCAGTGATGCCTGCTTTTCCCTCTACCCTTCATCTGACTTCTCAAACTGGAGTACACAGGACCCCCAGGAGTACAGAGTGGCCCAAGAAGAGAAAATTTGGAATTTCAATTTTACTTGAAGGGTTGGGCAGAGGGAAAGGCCGAAACACTATTTTTATGTCAAAAGAAATAGGAATAGATGTGGAATATAATGCAAATGTACTTGGATGATTAAGAGGAAAGATAATATTTTCATTCTTACCATATGCCATATACCAGCAAACCAACCGCCAAGCTGATGAAGCACCTCATGCCTGTTCTCATGTTTGAGGGGCCCTGAGGCTGCAGGGGTCTTTAAGGCCAGGTCTGTCTCCAGGGGCTGCACACGTGAAACAGAGCATAGTTAGTGTCCTGGACCAAGAGAGGAGAAGTTCAGAGACTGGGGCTGGGGATAGCAGAACTGAGCCAGGAACGATGGAAGGATCTTGACTGGCAGAGACCACTGAGGGGCGAGAGATTGTGAGCAAATGTTGGTGGGGGGTTGACCTGAGCGGAACGGGGCAGAAAGAAGTGTGTGGTGCATGTGGAGAGAAGAAAGGCGGACGCAGAAAACAGAAGGCCCCGATGAGGGGTGGCAGAGCTTAGAGTCCACGTGGCCAGCCAGTGCTTCTCAAACTTGTTCCTGAAGCCCCACTTCAAGGTGGAGGGGGGAGGATACATGCCGTAGGGCTTGAGGAGGTGGCCTGAAGCTGCTGGCCACAAGGGAGACTTTCCTGGCAATGAATGGCATAGCTTCCTAAGCATGGTCTCCTTCCCTCCATCCTTGTCTACCAGACCAGCTGAAGAGATCTTTTAATAATGTGAAGCGCATCACGTGACCCCATTGCTCAAAACCTTGCAATGGCTCCTGCCTCCCTCAGAGCAGTAGCCAAGTCATTAGAATGGCCCCATGCCTGCACCATCTGTCCTTGTCACTCTGCTTCTCCTCCCTCTCACTCCTCTTCCCACTCACTCTGGCCTCCCGGCTTTCCTAGAGCACGCAGGCGTGGTCCTGCCTCAGAACCTTTGCACCTGCTGTTTCTTCTCTTTACAAAGCTCCCCCCTTATACACCCCAGATATTCACACGCTGGTTCCCTCCCCAGTTGTAAGTCTTCTCTCTAAGGCCTATGCTGACCACGCAATTTAAACCTGTACCTCCCAGCATTTCCCTTCTCCCCTCATGACTTGATTTCTCTCTATAGTACTTGTCACCTTTTAATACTATCTAACCCATTGACTTATTTTGCTTGTCTATCTCTCCATCTAAAATTTAAGCTCCAAAAGAGTATGAATTTTTAAATTTCTACTTTATTACAATATAACATCATGTAACCCCTCCTTAAGAAGAGTTCCAGGGGCCGGCCCCATGGCCAAGTGTTTAAGTTTGTGCGCTCCACTTCGGTGGCCCAGGGTTTCACTGGTTCGGATCCTGGGTGTGGACATGGCACGGCTCATCAGGCCACGCTGAGGCAGCGTCCTACATCCCACAACTAGAAGGACCCACAACTAAAAATATACAACTATGTACTGGGGGGGATTCAGGGAGAAAAAGCAGAAAAAAAAAAAAAAGAAGATTGGCAACAGTTGTTAGCTCAGGTGCCAATCTTTAAAAAAAAGAGTTCCAATTAATAAATGTGGAAGGAACGAGGGAAATGGAAATTCACTATTAGATTACCACAGTGCTCACTGCCACAGGCAAGATCCTTTGACAGACTAAACTTAGTGGGCAGAAGCGTAAGCAGAAAGAGCATATTTGCATAGTCTTAAAGATGGCCCCCAAAACATTGAGGAAATACAAAGGGAAAAAAATCTTGACTTTACAGTGAGCAATACTGGCAGAAACCATCTTAACCTGTGATCATGGTTTACAACAGCGCTGAGATAGAGTCACAAGCCGCACAACAACATTTCAGCCAATGACAGACTGCTTATACGATAGTGATCCCATAAGATTAGTACCATGCTGCCTAGGTGTGTATAGGCTATACCATCTAGGTTTGTGTAGTTACACTCTAGGAATGTTCACACAATGAGAAAATCAACTAAACAACGCATTTCCCAGAACGTATCCATGTCGTTGAACACCACGTGACTACAGAGCAACATCATGTAGCCCCTGACCTGGGAAGGGCAAATCACCTCAGGGCGTTCTTCCCAATAACACAGCTCCTCGATGTAATCACGAGAAAAACCTCAGACAGAAGCCAGTGGAGGACATGCTACAAAACTAACTAGTGCTCTTAAAAGTGTCGTGAAAGACAAGGAAAGACTGAGGAACTGCCACAGAGTGACGGAGACTAAGGAGACAAGACAACCGAATGCACTGTATTCTTGGATGAGGTCCTGAAACACAAGGGCAAAAGAACATTAGTAGAAAAAATCGTGAAATCGTGTAACAAGTCTGTAGTTTATAGTATCGTACCAAGATTATTTTCTTACTTTTGATGATCATTCCACAGTTATATAAGATGGCATCATAAGGGAAGCTGGTTAAGGGTATAAGAGAGCTCTACTACTTTTGCAACTTTTCTGTAAGTCTAAAATTATCTCAAAATAAAACATCTTTTTAAAAGAATCGTCAGGGGCAAATTTGGCACTTTTTTCACTAAACTCTAGGCTTTGGGGGAGAAAGAAGGGAAAATAAGTCTAGCAGTTTCTATTAAAAGTGGAACTCTGGAAGAAGGGTTTATGCAGACGGTTGCTCAAGCTACAAGCCAGGTGTCATCTTTTGACTCCTCCTTCCCCATCGTGGTCCAGTCAGTCACCAATCTCTTAATCTCTTGAATCCATTCTCTCTAGCCCACCGGCCCCACTTTAATTAAGGCAGGTCTCCAACTCCCGCTCTGGGTTCCCGCTGGAGCCTTGCCTTGCTTCAGGTGAAAACCGAAGAGGGTAGCAAGTGAGACTCAAGAGAAAGGGGGTCCCTAAAGACCCTTTTGCAAACCACTGACATGGAGTGACCAGACAGGTGGGAAGAAAAGGAATGCATGTGACATAGAGATGGAGGGGAAAAGTGGCCTCACAACTATCAGCAAGTGAAAGGAAAAATCTATACAACTCGAAAGCCTGCGTTTGGTCATTCTACACAATCTTTACCCCGTGAGAGACAGCAGTGGGCCCCACACAGGGTATCAAAGACTCAGATCCCACGTTATCGCCAGGTTTTACTCAAAGAACTCAGCATATTTGTGTGTGTTTTTTTTAATCTCCCCCTTTTATTTATTGTCTCAGGGTAAACACTTGTGATTCATAAATGCCTTAAGAGTGAATCAGTATTCTCCTGTTCAAACCAGCAGAGGCCACATCAAACAATAGCCCACAAGGTATTATTAATCATTAAAGAGGCACATATAAGAACACTCAAGCCAGGGAGCCATTTTTCTTTGCTTTCTTGTCTTTTTTTTTTTTTTTTTTAAGGAAATTAACAAAGAGCAAACCTTGACTTTGACCTATTCAGAAAAAAGGTGTTTGGGTTTTTTTGTTTTGTTTTTTTTTTACCTTTAAAAAGTTAGTCAAATTCAAGGCTAAGAGGGCAAATATTTCAGGTGGGAAAATGCTCCTTCCTTTGGGGTCTTCCTTCGGCCATTAAACAATGGCCTGGATTTCAAATGGTAGCACTAGCTTTTTTCATGTTCACATGCCCCAGACAAATGGAGGTTCTCAGCCATGGTCGGTAGCTGCAAGAGTCCACGGCAGCATTGCTATGCTGTAGCCACAACCTGGCTGCAAACTAACAGATGGTGGGGAAGTTCAGATCACACCTGCTCCATCAAGAAGAAAGCAAGGCCTGTCAAACACACCTTGAGCACAACCATCCTGGGGCCTCCTCTGCCCCTCCCTTCTCCTATATACAGTAAGCAAGGTCCTCTAGGTTCGAAGATGGGGCGCCCCCCAACTATGGAAGGCAGATCAATGGTATCACCTTCCACAGACATACAAGTGCTAAAACCTTAGCGACTTAAAAATAATATTTCTTCTCACTTTCTCATAGGAAGCATCTCTGACGAAAAGACAGCTGAATAGACAGATGAGCAATCTAGCATGTGCCATCGTGGGCCCGCAGAACTAGGAGGGTCATGTGGCCCAGTGGATGCCAGTTGTCCTGACATAACTGTTAAGAGCACTACCTTTCACTCTCAAAAGTGTCCCTGATAAATGATATGGTCACCTGCGGGAACGCCAGCAGGAAAGGTCTCAGACATTTATCTTTCCCACCAATCTTATCTTGCACAAGTGAGACTGGGATCCAGGGAGGGCCTGCCCATGTTTACTCTCCTGGATTAAGTGTCCCTGCAGCCCTTCCCATTCCTTCCTGTGGGGGGAGGGTTCGCCCACACATCCTGTGCACCAGGCCCATGCTGATGCCCTTGCCTCTATCCCCAACTCTCCTTTCCATGAGAAAATGAGAGTTTCAATTATTCAGGGCAGGGCTACCCCAAGCTCTGCATGTGCCCACACACCACAGTGATCGTGGTAGAGACCATTCCTCCCTGGACAAGAAGAAGGAGCCAGATAATTCTTTAGGTTTCTCCTCCTCTCACAGCCTGGGATTCATAAAAGACTGGCCGAAGCTTTTGATCTGTCAAATACTCAGGGACCAATTTACCACAGTGGCTGTCCATCCATTTCTTCGAGAATATTAATATCTCATGATTTTTTTAAAAAACGCACGAGGGTACGTACCTGTCTCACATGTCAGAGATACATATATAGCAATGATAAAAGCAGCTGGCAACTTATATTGTATTTACAATATGCCAGGCACTATTCTAAGCACATTACATAAATTAGTCCTCATAACAGTCTTATACAGTAAGTACCATGAATGCCTCCCCATTTCACAGGTAAGTAAATCGAGGTACAGAATGGTGATGTCACATAGCAAGAAGGCCAACAAGCTAGAACAGGAACCCAGGCAGTGTGGCTCCAGAATCTGCCTTTTAGCCACCTACTATAGTTTTTCCTGAACATATACAGAGATATGTGTTCAACATTCCTAACAGAAATAATCACCAGGGCAGTCAAATCTCAGCTGTAAAACACTTGAAGTTCACAGGGGAAGGTGCTATTTAAATATAAGAGGCCATTTCACCTCGACTTTATAGCCTCCTTTATCGATATCACTCAACATCGTAAAACAACAGGTGTGTTGGGGTGCTCTGTAAAAACAGGTGTTTTTGTGTGCCGTATTTACACTTATTTAACCCAGTGTGTCTAGGCATGACTACTAGGTACTTCTTGGTTATACAGAATCTTCCATGAGGGGTTGGCATGAAAATAGAGAATGAGGGCAGATGAAGAGGTAATCAGTGGTCCTTCCTCAGGACGTTTTGTGGGCGCCAAGACCACCTGGGTGACTGCCCACCAGAGTCACCTTTCCCAAGTGTCCCCCTTCTCATTTTTTTTTTTGCCAGTTTTCCAGAAGGACCAGTGATGTCCCCACTGGCCTTTTTTTCCTTTCCATCTGCTGCCCAGTGGTGGAACACCCCTGCTTAAATCTTACTTATTAACTATACGTAGATACGGCACACCGCGATTACAGTAGAATTGTTTGGGAGCTCAGTATCTCACTTCTTCCCACGTACCTTACCCTGGGAATTGCTTTGTACTTTCGGATTGCCATGTGGTGGTGTGTCTTTAATAACCATCAATAAAGATAGGCCTGGGAAAACACGGACAGCCACAGACTCCTCTGAATTCACCTGATTGCAACAGAGTAGAAGTGTCTGCAGGGGATCCCAGCTGCCCAGAGGTGGTCACCAGGAGTGGTCAAAGTCAACCCACCCCTTTGATTCAGCAACCAAAGAAAATCTGGCAAAATATGCTGACTCTCTGAGGGTTCCACTGAATCGCTAATAAAACATATTTCCTTAAGTCAAAGTTCATTCATGCATATATTCTCCCAATATTCGGGGGTGCCTACCCTGTGAAGGGCGTTATACTGGAGACCATAAGGAGCTTTGTAGCTTCTTTATCAGGGAAGCAATAGAGGTGAAGAATGTGGGAAGTAAAGGGGACATTTTTATAACATAAACTGGAGATGTCACCATTGCACAGATGAATAGCATTGGAATAGCAAGCAGGGATGCAAGCAACTGTCAAAATAGGTGTGTAATTCTTCCTTTTACATAGTAGGTGCCAAAAATATTCATTGAACTGAATTAATTCAAGTTAAGTTCAGGCAATTGAGAATTGGATGGTTTTAACCCTGACTCTACTCTCTGACTACCATCCATACAGGTTCACTTGATACAAAGAAAACAAGCGGGGAGCCCACCCCTCGGTCCAGATGACAGGTGGGTCTAGACACCACATCTAGGTCTGCCCCGAGTGCAGTCCTGCCCACTTTGTGGACAGGTGAGGAGGGTATAGAGGTTGAATAACCACCCAGGACAAGGAGATCCGATACTTGAACTTGAGTATTGGGTCCCTCCGGGACTGTGGGAGCCTATCGAGATAAAGACCACCGCTAGATGTGTGTATGATACATGCAGGGCTTGGCAACCTCCTCCAGGAGCCAGCAATGCTCTGGGACTTTATCAAGGGACTTCCCTGGGTCAGGCAAGCCTGCCACACTCGAGCATGTTACAACAGAGCTCACCCTCCCTGGCTCCTCTCAGATTTCAGTTAAGGCTGGCCTGTGGAAATCCAGCCCTGCAAGAGGAGAGGTTTCTTCTCCCTGCCTCACGTAACGTCTCCTGCTGAGTGGGACTGAGGGGACCCAGAACGCACCGCACTGTGTGGGCGGTTGCCCACAGTGGTCAGGGAGCCAGAGGTGAACCCTTGGTCCTTGGTTCTTTCCCTGGTGCTACAAGGATTCTATGTGCTTGCCTCCCCCTTGGTCCTGAGCACCCTCACCCCGCCACCTCCTCTCCGCGACCACCACCCTCAGCCTGGCTACAGAACAGGATGCAGTCTCCCCACTGTCCCTGTTCCCTGCCATCACCCCCGAACAATCCTACAATCCCTTTCAGTCTATGGGATTTTATGTTATGCCTATAGCAGTACAGACAGCATGGAACAAAGCTAGTGAGTAAGGAGAAGGGACGCAGTTTCCAGTATCCTACAGGGGCCCTCAGTCACAGAGCTGGGCTCCCTTTTTAAGCTCTTTCCAAGAAGCCCCTCAGAGGCCTTGGTTGCTGAACTAAGCAGCTCTAGCCTCAGCCCAGGGGAGACTATGGTCATCCCCTTTCCGTGTCTTTTCCAGAACCTGCTCAGTCATCTTCTTGCTAAGTGGGATTCCTTCCCCTCACCTCTCCCTCCCTCCTGGCTTCGCTCCACGAGAAAGGACCTTTCCTCCTTGCTCCAAAGATGCCCTCTGGATCACTGACATTCTATACCAAATTGACAGTCATCTCCCTTGTCCCCTCTGTTCCAGTTTCTGGAAATCTTATTCTTCCCTGTGGCTGAGAAAGAAAAGTTGGTTCTCTCCTGCCCTCTAAGCTCCCTGCCCTGCCTTTTCTCTCTAGAGGTACTGTTTTCCAGAAAGCTCATCTATTCTATATCCTATGCCCCCAACAGCCCATGGTCCAACCAAGTGTCTCCTGCACTGATGGCTTGAATCCTCTCTCCCTCTCTGGGCCTTCCACCAAAGTCCCTCTAATCTAGATCATAAGGCTAGACATGAGGACAAAATGCTGTAATGGACTAGCAAGTGCCTGGTAAACTGTCAAGTACTACAAGACTGGGGGAGAGGTACTGCCAACGGTGGGAGAGACCAGAAGGTCCCAACCCCACTGGAACCCACCAGAGTCTTAAGCTGCAGTCGTGGTAGCCACCTGGACCATCTTCTCTTCTTCCCTAAGCCTGGTATCTAATAGGAAAATATATCTTTCACATGCAAATATCATTTATCGACCACTTGGGATCCTTATTTTTCTCACCTCTCCCTCGGCTAAATGTGAAGTCAGCCAGCAGCTCAATGTCTTTGTGCTCCAATGCCTTCTCGATATTCCTAGCATCACATCTTCTTTGGTTCTGATAAAAACCTAGTATTGATGGAGAAGATTCAGGGGACCAGAAATATTCTCTCTCCCAACTTTCTTTTTAGAGAACAAATAAGAGAAGCAGGTGGGCAATTATAAGAAAGAAGGGATGACATGTGACTTGGCTTGGTTGACTGAGAGGCAGGATGACAATTCTGTGTGGTCCCTGTGAGTGGCTTCTTATCTGCTGGAACTTAGAAATCAAGACCTCTTTTTTTCCAGAGGTTATAGAGGGATGAGCAAATCCAAGAGAGAATCACAGTGCAGCAAGCCTGGAATTTAACCTTGTTCTGTGCTGGGCATGTTTCGCCACACTACCACAGTCACTCACCAGCAGGCAGCTCTGGTCCTCAACTGGAAAATCCATCTTTGGTGGTAACGTTAGTCACTTCCTGTGGACGATATTTCAAAATGTTCTTCTCCTATAGAGATAGAGTGGGGCCTGTTTCTGGACTAGTGGGCAGGAAACCTGAGCCTAACTCTGGTTTTGCTATTCCCTCTCTGGGGAGGCTGTCTGACCTTGGGCAAGTCACATCTTCCTGGGCTGTTTTCCCATGCATTCAATGAATGGACCAACTCAGCCCCCTCTTTGGTCCCTTCGCCGCCTTCCCTCACCCCGTTTCTACAAGCTGAGAAATGAGGGAAGGATAACAATGATGGCAATTTTAATTAAAAGTCTGTTGTACAAATTCATCTCACATCACTTTCAGGTCCTAAGTTTTACCCAAATGGTCTTCCTGGCTAGCTGAGTTTTTTGGTTTTGTTTTTTATTTTTTTTGAGAAATGTGATCTGATGTCACAGTTGGAGCAGCCATCTGCAAGGCAAAGAAATGCATGTCCTGGGTTTAAAGGGGCTAGGCTTCATCCCACCTTCCTGAGCCTGCCAGAGGCCCCAGTGCAATTCTGAGCCTTTCACACACAAGCGTGCAAACCAGCGTGCCTGCAACCCCTCAGGAACGGCCTCCTTCATCCCTGGGCTTGCAGGCTCGTTTCCCTGCAGCCCTGCTCACAGGGGAAAAGGTTAAGCTACAAGCACACTTAGAACCTTCCCACCAATGCCGCTGTGGCTGAGCCAAATGTGGGAGTTAAGCCATTCCAGAGGGCCCTGCCCCCACGCCACTGGGAAAGGCTTTCTTGGCAACCATCCTCCTTCAGAGCCCATTAGAAAAGGCACATTCCCTTGGGCTCACTGGTTCTGGTCAAGTTTTCCAAGGGGAGTGACGGGGGTGGCAGAAAGCATTACAGGCTGCTATCAGCCCATGTCAAAAGCTTGTGTTTTCCACTGCCACCCCTAGCTTGCCCTTCAAGGTCCCAGCTCAGCCAGAAACCAACCAGGCAGTTTTCTTCAACTTATTTTTATCAAAGATGGAATGCAAAGTTGCAGTTGTGTCTAATGCCTCTGCATGGCAACCAGGGCTCTTGCTCCAAGCATTCCTGAATCTTCTTCTCTCCGTAGACACTTGGCTCTCTGGCCTAACCCTTTCTCCATCCAAAACTTGGGTGCAGAGCAGCTCAAGTGCTTCAGAATTAAGGGAAAAAAATGTTCTGGAAATTCACAGTCTCTTTATTAATGTCTGTTTTAAAGCCAGGTTCTGGCGGTGACCACAACTCCAAAACCCCATCCTAAATTTATCAAGGACCCCAGCACTGTGGGGTGGTGGAAAGAGCTCTGAGCTGGCTTCTGACCCCCACTCTGGCCATGGAGTGCTGTAGGCCCTTGAGCTAGCCCCTTGCCCTCTCTGGGGCTTAGAGTACCCCCTTGTAAGCAGAAATTGCCTGGATCAGTTTCCTCAACCATTTTGGGTCACAAAAAGCTTTGAGATTCTGCTGAAAGCTATGAATCCTCTCCTCAGGAAAAAGAAAAAGTGATGCATTGGTTCATTTATTCAAAAAGTATTTATGAAGTTCCTGCTAAATACGCGTGTAGAGAAGTAATTTTGAATTCTATTTCAGGAGCTTAATAGGCCCCCTGGGGATTCATCCATGAACCTTAAGGTAAGAAATCCTGGTTATGGATTCTGCTGTGACCAGCATATATGGAGTCTTATCTAGAAGACCATAGTAATGCTTCTAGTAAAGGATCATAAAACTACCAGTCAGGCGGATGCCAGTAAACAGAGGCAGAGAGGCAGTCATTATGCACGTGACCCCTGGCTTCCCTCTCCTTCCCGGTGCCCCCACCCGGCATGCATGCGGGCTGACACGCGTGCATACCCGGTGAGGAATGTGCTGTTTCTGGGCACGCAGACCACAGGGAGCTGGCTGCAGCCCTGGAGAGACGACAAACATCTCTTCTCTCCTGGACTTTATTTTTCTCACGGTCTCTGAAAGGGCTGAGATCAGGTGATACGTGGGGGACGGCTCCCTGTACAGGTGCGGAGCAGGTCCTGGGAGGAGAAAATCCACCCAGTGTGTACTTACTGGAGGCTCTTTCAATGGCCCTCCCAGGATAGCTCTTGGCAGGGCAGCTACCACGTCTCTGGCAGGCTGCAGGGAATCTGAGTGTGAGAAAGTCAGTCAAGCGGAGGAAAAGGGAAAAAAGAGCTTCAAGTCCTCAGGCAAAATACCTTTTTTCTTCTTCTGCGCTCTCTCTCCTCTCTGTAGCTTTCAACCAAACCCACAAACCATTCCGATACCTAAGGACAAAAGAGAGTCTCACCAGAGGCAGGTATTTATGGTTTAAAGCAAACAGGTGATGCAATAAGACAGAAAAATCACCCTTCGCGGGGCAGATGGGGGGGGGGGCGGGGGAAGGAGACAGGGCTGTATTTATGGGGCACCATGCAGCGGGATCAAAGAAGTGACTTCCACGGATGAACATGGTTCAATTTTCTCTTTGCTTTGGGACAGAGGGAGGATGACTGAAAAATAAAGGTGGTTTCTGTCCCAGAGGAGCCTTCCAAACCCAAAAGTCTTCTCCCGAGCTTACGAGCTTAGTTCTCCATGTGAGAAGGGGTGGGGAGAGTATCCATGAGTGCTATTTTCACTGCCCAGGATAACGACACTGAAAAACAGTCTATGCACACATTTGCAAAGAAACTTTCTTCTTGAATGACAAGGGTGGAGAGCTGGAGATTTCCTGGATTGGTTTTTTCCTTTGTTTGGCCCAGACTCAAATTCATGGCAAATTTTTGGTTACTTGACCGACCCGTTTGTCTATCTAAAAATGTGTGTGTCCGTGATTTGTCCATTCTACCAGTCTAAGCAATAAACTCCGAAAGTGGCAATAAACGAGTTGCTTATTAACTATCTGACCAATAAGGCCGCTTCAGGCAGTGCAGAGAGACCCTGACTTGACTATATGCAACATTCTCCACGCACCTTCAGGGGGCTTCAGGAGAGGACAATCAGAGACAAACAAGGCTCCTAGGCTACAGGGACAGCGGGTGGCATACTAGGCTAGTCAATTAGGGCCCAGGAGCGGACAGCAGTCAATGTTGCAGCAGAGCATAGTGGAGGAAGTCACTGGCTCTGTTGGGTTTGGGGGCAACCTGGAAAAGGTTAACATGCTTCCGCGGGAAAAGTTTAGCTCCTTGGAGAAATCTGGATCAATGTATTTATGCAGTTTTTAAAAAGTCAGATGCTGAGCAGAAGCATTTTAAGAAGCTTCCAGAGTGTGCATGGCAGAAAGGAGGGTAACTTCAGAGGCTCGTCACCTTTCACCAAGGGGATGTCAAACACACAGGAAAACTCCACTTCTTTCAAAAGCAACAGACAATTTTCTGTCATCACCACTTTTCCATCTGTTTAAAATAAGAAAGATAAGTCCTCCCCCATTGGCCCAGGTTGCAGGTCAACAAAGGAGGCATTGTTCATCATTTCTGCAGAACATGATAGCGCACAGCCCACTCTGCAGAGTGTTAAGGAAACACCAAAAATCCCAGAGATTAGCCGGAGGGGCCGGAGTGAGTAAGCGAAGCCTGCAATGAGGTAAAGGTTTGGCTGCAGACTCGAGGGCTGTCCTGGAAGATGGAAATGAGGCTTGGAAGGTAAATACGGTCAGAGGCACAACGATTCCTTAGTTAGACTCCCGATCATGGGGGAACATGGCATTAAAGGGAAGGCAGGTTTCTGCTGAACTTGGAACACTGGACATGTGCAGTCAATGCCCAGGTGAGCTGGTTCTAGGCAGGTGTTTCCGGGGGAGAGTCAGTCTACACCTGTCACTTAGGAGCCTCCTTTACTGGCCTGAACCTCCTCACAGGCTTTCTGCCTCCAAACCCTACCAGCCACTCTCCAGACCTTTGCCAGAGTTGTCTTTCTAAAAGAGAACCTGGACATCCCTTCTCTGCTCAAGAGCATTTCATAGCTCTCCACGGTCTACAGATAAGTCCAAAGTCCTTCAGCAGGACGGTTAAGGGTCTTGTGACATGGCCTCGAGCCTCCTCCTTCTGTCCCTTCTTATACTCCTGCCTGTCACACACCCTGGGCCCCAGACCACAGGCCCTGAATGAGGACCTCAAGCTCCAGAGTCTAGGCCCTTAACATCATGGGTACTCCCATCCTCTCCAGCCCACCCATGGCACACCAGAATTCCAATGCCCCAATCTTACCTATTTTTCAAGACACAAGGCACAGGCCACTTCCTCCAGGAAGTTTTCCAGGGTACCCCAACTTATGAGTAATTTATTCTAAACCTCCACAGCATTTTACTTCTATCTAGACACAGAACAGTCTCTCTTGAACCTAGGACCTACCACAGGAATACACAGGAAACAGACAGATGTTAGCTGAGCTCATGAGTATAGTACCTCTAGGCTGTACACCTCTTGAGGGCAGTAACTATTTTTTCATCCCTGGATCCCCAGTAGACTCGCAATGCTGTGGCCCATACAGGTGTAGTTTAGTGTTTCTTTTAGGTTCTCCTGATCTCTCAGGCCATCATCCAAGCCCTAAGAGAAAGGAATAATAGAGGAATGCCCAGTCATCAATCAAAAACTCAGTGTCTGTCTGCCTCCAGAATTGACTGGAAACTCCTCTCAGGCTGCCACTGTCTCTCTCATCGTCGTAATCCCAGGGTTTAACACACTGTCTGGCACGGTGCGTGCGTTCCATAATGAAAGAAAGAGAGGGGCTCGCCCAAGGTCACCCAGAGTCAGGAACCACTGAATCTCATCCGGGACGAGATCTGGTGAAATCATTTACAACATTATCTCAGTGGGGAGCTCGGAGGAAGGAAGGAATGAAGTGTCTGAGAAATGTGTGCCAGGCCTCCGGTGGCCTCCAAGCCTGGGAGGGCGGGGGTCCGACATCAAACAAGACGCTCGGCTCCTGGGCTGCCCCGAGCCGCCCGAGCAGCAGCGCGCCGAGCTCCCGGGCGGCGGGAAGGGCGGAGGGGGTGGGGGCGCGGGGGCCGGCGACCCGGGCAGGCAGGCGGGCGGGCGGCGGCGGTGGCGGCCGGCTGGCCGGGGCAGTGCGCGTCGCCCGCCCCGCGCGGCAAATCCCCCAGGGAGGCCGCCGCCAGAGCCCTGGCGCTCCCGGCCCGGCGCCCGCCACGTGGCACCCGGCGGCGGCGGCGGCGGCTCCTCCCGGCGCGCGGCCCGGCCAGCCGGCAGCACGCAGCCGCCCGCGCCGCCCACCTCCTCCCGGCCGCCCGCCGGCGGCCTCCCGGGCGCAGCGCGGGGGAGCTGCCTGGCCGCCCTGGGCCCCGAGAAGGAGCGGGCGGCGCGAAGACGCTTTAACCGCAGCCGCCGAGCGGAGGCAGGAGGCTGACCCGGCCGCTTCCTAAGTGCGGTCAGGCATCTCGTGACCGCGGCGGGCGCCGGGGCCCCGCGGGAGGAGGGAGGAGGGAGGAGGTGGGGAGGGCCGGGGCAAGGATCAAACCAGAAGGCCCCCACCTCTCCCCCGGGCTGTTGCTAGTGAGGCTTTTCGAGTTAAAACCCCAAGCCCGAAATCAGGGGTGGAGTGGGGCACTGGAATAATTCCCCACTCTCCACCCTGGGGCGTGCGCTCCCCGCCCGGAAGGGCTGACCTTGGCCGGGGGGAGGCGGGAGGGGGGCGGTGGTGGTAAGCGCCGGGACTCGGCTCCCAGCCCGCCGCCCCCTCGGATTCCTGGCCCGGCGGGGGCCGGAGGAGGGGGCCCCCGGACACACACACACACCCCACACGCAGCGCGCGCCAATGAGCCCCGGCCAGGCGCAGGGGGCGGGGTTTTCCCAGGCTCGAGCACAGCAGCTGCTATTTACCTTCTTGGCTTCTCCCGGGGACCAGGAACCAGCCCCCGCGCTCCGCCGCCCGCCGCCGCCCCCCGCCTCCCTGCCCCCGGGGCGCGCGCACACACACTCACACACGCATGCACACACACATCCTCCCGGCCCGGCCGCAGCCGCGGCGGCAATAAAACATCCTGGCACGTGCTTCGGCTCCAGGCGCGCCCTCGCCGGCCGGCTGATGTCAAACTGCAGCTCGGCTGGTGTAGCTCTTAAAGGGCCCGCGCGCGCCGGGTGCCGAGGCTGCCTCGGCCGCCCGCCGGGCGAGAAGGAGGGGAGAGGCTGCCGCCTGGCCCGCCACCGCAATGTGCCGCAGAACCGAGAGCCTGCGGGTAGAAAGGGAAAGGGTGGCGAGGGCGCGCGCGCGTCCCTGAGGCATTGCCATCAAAGCCCCCGTTGTTCATCTTTCATTTGAAATTCCATTTCCTTTCTGCCCAGTTGGAAATTATTCTGATTGTTTCCTGGGGAAGCGCGGGGTCTAAGGCCCCCAACTCCAGAGAGGAATGAGGGGTAGGAAGGGGGATGGTGGAGAGGCATCAAAAACCACCTTGCTCTGAAAAACCTGCAAATGTAAGGTGGAAGGCATTTCTTCCTTTTTCTGCGTCCAAAAAGGAATTTTTTTGTCCTTTTTCTGCATGATCGACTTTCACCCCCTCCCAATGTATAGAGTCTGAGCGGGAAATCACTTAGATGTTTCGGTAACTCACACCCTTGCACACGTTCCCCCTTTTCTCTTAGCCACTGCAAGTATAATCTTTTATCCCTGTCCTTCTAAACCTTTTAAAAAATATATTTCAAACTTCTTCTTAGTGTCAAAGCAGCTCTATTACACATATTAAAGGAAATAAAGAGCAAATACCCTACCCCCCCCCACCCCCAAAATAAACTAGACTAGAGCAAAACCAATGCGGAAAAATCCTCTCTAAAACAAAGCCCAGCAGGGAGAGTAGCAAAGGGTTAAAATCCTTTTGATTGACGTTGTAGCCTCCGGTGCCCCGGGCTCTGGCGCGCGCCATTGGCCGCCAGGCCTTGTGCCTGGCGGCCAATGGGGGGGCGCGGTCCACGAGCGGTGCCGCGTGTCTCCTCCTCCCATTGGCTGAAAGTTACTGTGGGAAAGAAAGTTTGGGAAGTTTCACACGAGCCGTTCGCGTGCAGTCCCAGATATATATAGAGGCCGCCAGGGTCTGGGGATCACACAGGATCCGGAGCTGGTGCTGATAACAGCGGAATCCCCCGTCTACCTCTCTCCTTGGTCCTGGAATAGCGCTACCGAGCACCAAGTAGCCATAAGATATTATAATAAACCCTCAGCACTTGCTCAGTAGTTTTGTGAAAGTCTCAAGTAAAGGGGACATAAACAAAATAATTTTTCTGTGTGAAGGACTCCAAAAATAAAATTCTCTAGGGATTAAAAAAAAAAAAACAGAAAATGCCAGCTGATATAATGGAGAAAAATTCCTCGTCCCCGGTGGCTGCTACCCCAGCTAGTGTCAACACGACACCGGATAAGCCAAAGACAGCATCTGAGCACAGAAAGGTAAGGGCAGTGCCTGTCTCTCTGCAGCCCCAAGAAATTAAGTCGGGGTTGGGGGCTCCTCTCTCCCTTAAAAGCTCGGGGTGAAATGGCAGATCTCACGGAAACTCAGGGCTCTTTGATTTCTTTACAGTCATCAAAGCCTATCATGGAGAAAAGACGAAGAGCAAGAATAAATGAAAGTCTGAGCCAGCTGAAAACACTGATTTTGGATGCTCTTAAGAAAGATGTAAGTGGGTAGTGCTTTTTTTTTTTTTATTATTAAAAAGCCGAAATACTATTTCCCAGGTACTAAGAATGAAAGCTCCTCGCCGGCGGGATCTTCCCTGCCTGCACTGCGGTCTCTGAGGCGGGAGGGTCGGGCGCCTCTCGTCCGGGTCTGGGGATGTTGGCACCGCGGCCTGGGGGAGGGACCCCCAGCATTCCGAGGTCACTGGCGGGGCTCTCACTTTCCTTCCCTGCCTCCTCTTCTGTGCAGAGCTCGCGGCATTCCAAGCTGGAGAAGGCGGACATTCTGGAAATGACAGTGAAGCACCTCCGGAACCTGCAGCGGGCGCAGATGACGGGTGAGGGCGGCTCGCCGCGTCCCCCTCTGCGGGCGTCCCTCTCGCCCCGCGGTGATTTCTTCCAGACTTCCGTCCGTGGTTGTGAGAGGCATTCAGCTACATTTTACTGCCTTGGCTCACTCTTGCGTTCCCACGGTCTGGGGCTTATTTATAGCCACAACTCCAAGTTGTTACTGTTCCGGAAAGGGAGGGAGAGAGGTTGTAGCAGCGAGGGCGGCGGGCGGCTTGGCAGCAGGAAAGCGGGTGGGGGCGAAAGGACTTGAACCGTGGCGGTTTTGAGCTTCGTGGAGCCTAGGGGTCATCGGGTTTAGCTCTCCCTCCTCCCCCATTACAGAAGGGGAAATGAAGCTCAGATGGCGAGGAAGGGGGGAAGGGCATTACCCAAGGTCACATCGCGCGCGTGGGCCGGGGGAGGGGGGGGCAGATCTGGAGCTGAGATCAGTTTAAATGGAGCCACAGGGAAGCCACTAGCTTCGGTCGCCAAGCTAGTGTGGAGAGGTGGCTGGTTTTTCTAAACCCACCCCCTTCGCCAGAGGCAGTTCGGCAGGCCCATAGTCAGGGAGGCGCGTCGCGGGGACCTCCCAGGGCGGAGGCGGTGGCCTAGGGGCCAGGGCCGTTCGGTGACCCGTCTGTCTCCTCCTGGCCCGCAGCCGCGCTAAGCACAGACCCGAGCGTGCTGGGGAAGTACCGCGCCGGCTTCAGCGAGTGCATGAACGAGGTGACCCGCTTCCTGTCCACGTGCGAGGGCGTTAACACCGAGGTGCGCACCCGGCTGCTCGGCCACCTGGCCAACTGCATGACCCAGATCAACGCCATGACCTACCCCGGGCAGCCGCATCCCGCCTTGCAGGCGCCGCCGCCGCCCCCGCCAGGACCCGGCGGTCCTCAGCACGCGCCATTCGCGCCGCCGCCTCCGCTCGTGCCCATCCCCGGGGGCGCGGCGCCCCCTCCCGGCGGCGCGCCCTGCAAGCTGGGCAGCCCGGCTGGGGAGGCGGCTAAGGTGTTCGGCGGCTTCCAGGTGGTGCCGGCTCCCGACGGCCAGTTTGCCTTCCTCATCCCCAACGGGGCCTTCGCTCACAGCGGTCCGGTCATCCCAGTCTACACCAGCAACAGCGGGACCTCCGTGGGCCCCAACGCAGTGTCCCCTTCCAGCGGCCCCTCGCTCACGGCGGACTCCATGTGGAGGCCTTGGCGGAACTGAGGGGCACAGGCCACCCCTGGCCCTGAACTCTCCAACCCACTTCTCTCCCCTCAAGACACTAAACAGGAACTTGGACGCCGGGAGAGAAGAGGACTTTTGTGATTAAGTGGTTACTCTGGTTTTATTAATTTCTAAAAAGTTACTTTTTTGTAGAGACCTGTATTAAGTGACTGACCATGCACTATATTTGTATATATTTTATATGTTCATATTGGATTGCGCCTTTGTATTATAAAAGTTCAGATGACATTTCGTTTTTTACACGAGATTTCTTTTTTATGTGATGCCAAAGATGTTTGAAAATGCTCTTAAAATATCTTCCTTTGGGGAAGTTTATTTGAGAAAATATAATAAAAGAAAAAAGATGGAAGGCTTTTATGTCTTAGAACTGATTATTTCAGAACATGGAAAGAAAAGGCTCTTGGCAGAATTCGAATTACATGCAACCTGAGAATTCAAGAACTGGCTCTTTTGTTATTAAAGGAACATTTTTTAAAATCCATTAAACCTTTTACCACCCCTCCACGAACTAAACTCCATTTAAGTTGAAGAACCCTTCTGATATGGCTTCCCTGATCAATTTGCGGTCAATCTCTGTCATTCAGTCCTGGTTCTCATACTAGCTCCTTCTGAGGAAGGTTGAACAGGACCAAATTCATGAAGTTAATCGAGCCAGTAGTACATCTGGCTGCACATTAAGGGAGGCTCCTGGGGTAGCTCACCAACGTCCAGAGTAAAAACACCCTTAACCACTGCAACCTCCAAGCCTTCAGATGTTGGTGTCTTCGTTTAACTAGTCAATCCTTAGGTACAGCTAAACATACCCTGGTACCAGCATCCAAAAGTTTGAAATGCCTCTCTGCACCCTCTTCGAGCAAGCTGAGAAGGTCAACAGATTCCTTCTGCCAAGGGACAGCTAGTTAGACTCCCAAGTGGAGCCCGAGTCCAGATGATTAACACCGGACATATGTTTTTGATAAGTTTCTGTGCTTGGCTCTAATAGAGAAAGCATGTGGGGGCTGTGCTGGCAGGCACACAGGCCATCTTCCCCTTTTAATACAAACAGCAAGCGACCCTTTCGCTTGGTCATGCCCCATTTCCAGGCAAGATGTGGGCTCCAGATAGAAGCAAAAGGGTTGTCTCGGGTTTCAGCTCACATAACCCTCCTTAACAAGTCCTAACTCAAAGCGGACAGCTTTAACCTGTGCCAGGATCTGCAGGGAATTTCTTCCAAATCCCATCACAAAGGCTTGTCAGATTTTGTCAGATTTGGCCAGGTGTTTGACTGCATCCAGGTGTTGGGGAAATGAAAACCACGAGCCCTGCGAGACCAGACACATCAGCCGCGCTGTGGGTCTGGGGGCGCGCCCTCCTCCCCAACCGCCGGCCGCTCCTCCTCCCTGCGCCGGCCCCTCCCGCCGGCCTCCGCTCACCCCCCTGCTTTTAGAACGGCTTCTGGGAGGAGAAGGATGAGGCGGGAGAGATCAATCTTTGAAGCCTTCCTAACAAAGATAAAGCCAACGATTTTCTGTCTTGTTTCAAAAGCTTTACCTCTCCCCCGCCTTGCTCTGGCGTTTCCCACAGGCCAGTGTGGAGAGCGGCTCTACCGCAGGAATGATCTAGCAGGGAGCAGTCAGTTTACTGCTCAAATACCTTCCACCCAGCTTCGGACCCAGAGGGAGAGGTTTAAAAGATACTTTTTAAAATTTGGCTCCTACTTGCTCCATTTTGCGTAAGTGAAAGGTGTCCAACACACCCTCGCCCCAAAACAATATACACATGTACACACACATACATACATACACCCTTCTTTATCATACTTTTCTGAGATTTCCCTCTTGTTTAAACCCAAATATAATAACAATGGCTCTATTAAGACACCCAATGCAAGTTTAAATGCTTCATTTGGTAACCCCGTCCTCTGGCCCCACTAAGAAGTTCTTAACTGTCCTGGCAGAAATAATGGATACATCAGGGTCTCATTTTTATAAAAGTACATTTATGTTCTTCAAAATTCACACACAGACACACACAAACCCGTGCAATCTCTACACCAACTTAAAACTCAATCTCTGTCTTTCTCTGTGCTGAAGGAGAACAACTGAAAAAGGGAATTTTTACTAATGTCATCAAAAGTACAGCTATATCGCGGGGGAGAGAGTAACACATTAAGGAAAAGTAGTCAACATCTGTCCCTTTGAAAATAACTGGTAGTTTGAAATGGTCCTTTTTCCCTGAAATTTGGGTTTAGACCATTAGAGGAGGTGTTTGTTCTGTACAATATGGGCAGAAGGAGGAGACCCTAGGCCCCAATGGGGATTTTCAGGCTCTTGTGCCAGCTCTGCCACTAAACTCACTGTGTCACTTTGGGTGAGTCATTTCCCTTTTCTGGGACATTTATTTCCAAGTCCATTAAATGGGTTTATTTCTAAGACCTTGCGCCCTCCTGCACCCAGGCTGTGTCTGGAATAATTAGTTGGGGGAGAGAGGAAGCTTCAAAGACGACTTCAACCTTGCCCCCGCCCCTCACTCCCCCCCGCGCCCACCCTCCGTCCGACCCCTCGGGCCCGGGCTAATTATACGGCCTCGGGGCACACCCGTCAGCCCCTCTCCCCGGCCTGGGGCAGTGCCGATGGTTCCAGGAGATAAGGCTCCAAGTTCCACGTCCGGATGCGGGCCGCCGGCCTCCGCCGCCGCGCGCATTAGCCTCTCAATGGAGACCCTCCGGGACCCCGGCCCCCCGCCGGCCCCAGCAGCATCCGGAGCGGGAAAGGCGCTGAACTGGAAGGGGGCCCTCGGCCGTCAAGACAGGAGCTTGCTCTAAGTGGTGACTAAGCGCGACCAGAAGGCGCGCTCGCTCCCCGCGGCCCATTCCACGCCACGTGTCTCCGGAGTGGGGACCCAGGGGTTAAGCTGGACCCCCTCATCGTGACCACCGTCCCGGGAAACCTGTCATTAAAGTCAATTAACTTTTCCCACACCCCTTGGCCGGTAACAACCCGCTGCTCGCTTCCTCCCCGGCTTCTAAATGCAACCAGATGGGCGGCCGAGCTGCCCCCGCCGCGCGCCCGCCGGGGCGGCCCGGGGCTTCCAGGGAGGCCGCCGCGGCCCGCGGCCCGGGCGCGAGCAGGCCAGGGCGGCCACGCCGGGCCAGCCCCGGCGGCCCTGCGGCCAAGGTGGTTTGCTTAGCAGGCCCGGCTGCTTTCTGGCAGGAAATGAATAGCTCCCAGATGAGCTCAGGCAACCTGAGAGGTCGTGAGAACGGCGCGAACCCCCGCCTGTGCAGCCGGCAGCCTGCCAGGCCGCGGGGGGAGCGGGCGGCGGCGGCGGCGGGAGGCCGGGAGGCCCGGCGGGCGGGCGGGCGGGCGGCGGCGGCGGGGAGCGGGAGGAGGGAGCCGCTGACACACGAGCCCGCGCCCGCTCCCGCTGACAGGCAGGCAGCCGCCCGCGCCCGCCGCCTCCCCCGCTTCCCCGCCCCAGGCCCCAGCGCCTCCCAAGCAGCAGGCCCTAGCCGCAGAAATGCGGCCGCGCGGCCGAGCCAGGGCCCGGGGGTGGGGCCGCCTGCCAGTGTTTTTCCAGTTCCCCCGGTAGCTCCGGGCCGCATTTAGAAGCCGGGGAAACTGGGCCGAGGCCAGTGTCAGGGCACCAGAGGCCCTCGCGGCCTGCGGAGCACTGCCAAGCGGGAGGCCAAGCCAGGGCAGGAGTGGGCAGAGGGGCAGGGGGCGGGGGGGGGGGGGGGGGGGGGGGGGGGGGGGGGGGGGGGGGGGTTGGGGAAGGGCATCTTAACCCACACAGTCGTCCCAAAAAAGACAGAGCTTCCAGACAGCAACTCTGGCTTCCTTAAAAAATGATTCTCATTTCTGAAAACGCGGAGTACCTACTAAGTGCCAGTGCCACTGCCAGCGCCGAAAGATCCCTGGAATTCCCACACAGCTCCTCCCTCCCAGAGCTCTCGGTGTAGCTAGGGAGGTAGGGAAGCGCTCCCGTGACTCAGCCCCGGCACGATGTGGAAATGAAGTTTAAACAAGGGGCACCTAAGAACAGAGAGATTAATTCTGCTTTGAGAGGAAACTAGGTAAGTTTTTCAAAGAGCTGGCCCTTGAAGCCGCCTGAGGTGAAAGATGAGGTCAGCAGGGAGAGATAGGATTAGGAAGGTGAAGGGAAACGCAGAGACAGGTAAATATATAGGTCCAGTTTGGGGGAATTTCAAGAAGTTTGCCTTGGTTGTTGCATTTGAATTTTCAAATATATAAATTGGCTTAGAGGTCAAAAAAAAAGAGGGCCAAGGGGCCAGCCTGGTGGCATAGTGGTTAAGTTCTCACCCTCGGCTTGGGCAGCCCAGGGTTGGCAGGTTCAGATCCCCCCAGAAAGGGACATTGCACCACTGGTCAGGCCATGCTATGGCGGCGTCCCACATAAAATAGAGGAAGATTGGCACAGATGTTAGCTCAGTGACAATCTTCCCCACAAACAAATTTTAAAAAAGAGGGCCAAGTTGTCTGCTTTGGTCCTTGGCTTACTGCAGAATAGCTCAGGGGTTAAACGTTGGTGCTCTGGCTTCAGATTGCTTAGGTTGTAAGATCAAGGCAAATTACTTACTTTTGTGTGTCTCATTGGTGATTTAGGGCTAGTAGCGAAGTATTTGATGGGGTTGTGAGGATGGAAGGAGTAAATGCACATAAAGCAATTGGAATGGTGCTTGGCACATAAGCCCTCAATGCATGTCAGCTAGTCTGATTCCTAAACAACCATGGAGAGAGATGCTCACCAAACAAGAAAGCCAACCCTGTCCTCTGCCCAGTGGTTCCAGGATCGGCTCATAATTGCTCCATGCCCCATGTGAAAGGACAACTGCTTCTCCCTTAGTTTCTGAATTTCAGGTATTCATTCGATAATTATTGAACCAAGTACTATGGGAACAAAGGGAGGAGAAGGACGTGGTCTCTGTAGCCATAAAGCTCACAGTCTAGTAGGTGACAGACCAGAAAAAAATTAATTACTCTGTGTTAAGTGTCATAAAAGAGGAGTAGTGTACACTGTGGTACAAAAGAAGATGACATGTCACACCAGGTAATTTTGGGGTCCTCCAGATTATGATTAATCTTTGTGAATTTTCGTGACCCTAGAAATTATTGGCACAGCAAATAACTAGTCAAATTCAGAATGAGCAAAATCACTTTGATGTGGTCAAGCAACTGGACTGGGAGTGAGAGTCCTGGTTCCAAATTGGCCACTACCTGTGAGATGCTGAGCAAGTCCCCTTAAGTGTCTGAGCTTCGGTTTCCTCCCTCACAAGGTGAGAAGGTTGGACCGGAAGTCTCCAAGTCCTTTTCAACTCCACGGGCTGTGATTCTGTTTCCTCAGTGTGCTTCTGTGTGCCTCTGTGCTTTGACACAGGCTCTGTGCCTGTGAGACCTGATGTCGGGCATCTTTCAAAACTTTCCAGCAAGGTCCTGGGATGCTTTTACAACCAACTATTTTCATCGGCAGTTAAAGGTGTGGAAACAGACCTGAAGGATGGGCATTATAGTTCCACTGTTGCAAGAAAATAGGACACGTATTAGGTTCTTGGAGACCTGCCATGTTAGTGGGAATCACGTTCGCTGTGTGGAACCTCAAAGGAAGACCTCATCTGACAGGATTTGCTCACGTATCTGCTACTAAGGCCCCGTCCTTTGCTGTAATATCTTGTTATCTTACTCAGAAAACAGAGTAACAAGAGTTAGAAATATCACCACTTTCCCTCTTCGTCCTAAAAAATTTCTTCCCATCCTTTTCAGTTGCCCACTCTTTTTCTGAAAAGATAATGTGGTCTATTGGTTACGATGACTCTTTCCATTTAGGAAAGATATATCCTTGGCTGGCTAGAGTTTTTACACTAGTACACTTACTGAACTAAGTAAACTGACTGAATTAGTCTGATTAAACAAGAACGTCAGTCTGACTTAGTGAAAAATCTGAGTTTTAAATATCCTATAGGTAAAGCCATAAACTTTGCAAATACTTGTAGCGAGTCTGAATTCATAGTTTACAGAAGCGCTTGCTTTCATTAAACTAATGCATTAAAGTCATTTAAAGAATGTATTCTCTTAAGCAGGTTAAACATAGCTCTTGCAATATTATTTATACTATAAATCTTTACAGTAAGGATAAGAGGAGCCGTGATTGCAGCCCAAGTAAATAATTGAAGTTTAAATTAATAATAAGGCTTTACTGTAGGTATTCTTTCTATGCCTGGATATGTTACCAGTTGTAATTTGCCTTTAGTCAAGCAGGAATCAATGCATTTTTTTCTCTTAGAATTGCAAGTATCACTTAGTGATAGCAATGTTACCTAAGGAGAGCTATTTGCAACTTACTATTTTGTTATTCACAAATGTGATCTGTTTTCATGTTAAACTGACTTTGCTAGTTTAGTCATCAACATGAGACTTGAAATTTATAAATCCTGTTTACAAAAAACTCTAGCCTACAGAAAAACTACTGTGATTGACAAACACCACCACCCAAAACCTCATGTTTTCTGCTACAGTTTCTCTTCTACCAGCTTTTCCTCTTAGCCTTAAAATTGTCCCCATGGTGTCAAAATGTAAAACAGGAATATTATTCCTTAACAGGGCCAGAAGAGGGCAAACGCAATGTCAAATCAGTTTCAGAAGCATCTGCCATATATGACATTTAGGAGTAAAGGTGAGTGTAAAGATGCTTAAGTCATTTCTTCCTTTTAGTGAACACTCAGGAGAGATCTGGGGTCAGGATGGGACACAAAAACATAAAGAAAGGCTTCTCACGTCCCAGATTTGTGAAGAACAAATACTCTTGAACATGCAAAGTTATTCTTTCCTGTGTTTGCTCCATAATTAGGACCCATATGATTATTTTTATACAAATAGAATGTTGGAGATAGATATTTCCATTAAAACTCCACCTAACAGAGTAATTGTGGAATTGGCCATTCATGGCTTCCAGAGGAGAACAAGTCTCTAAAAAAACTGAAACTAAAAACTCACTTGTGTTATTTTGGTTTTCTTGTTTTGGAGTTGGGGGGAGTGACGGGGGGGGGGCACCACGATTGGAGGGGGCCCATAATCTATGATCCTCTGGAAATGTCTGAAACTGCTTTAGTGGGATCTCTTTGAGATTTCATTTTAAATTCAAAATAGGGACGATCCATACAAAGGAGAAACATTTTGAAACATTTTAATGCTGGGAGCTGTTCAAAAAGGGTAACTTCAATGTTGTTCTTGCCTCAGCTATTCACAGAGCTCCTACATCAGAAAGCTAATGCTATCATATTTACACACTTACACTGGTTTACAAATAGAAGTTGGATTTCAAACAATTGATAGTCTTGAGATACGGCAATCAGTTTCCAACCTGATGTTGAGCTGAATTCTACTTAATTCTTAAAAAGCCAAGTTTTCATGTTTAGCATACAACCTCCAGCTAGGCATCCAGATCTCAGCTCTGTGCTTTCCCTCATCTGATGGGTCCCTCCTCAGCCCTTCTTCCACTGCACTCTCGGGAAACTTGTTCTGTTGTAAATAAATGCCCTCCACCTGCAGCCTGGGTGTGAACCCCCTCATGCCTGGTTCTGCTTTTCTTTTGAGCCTGCTGGACTGATGACTCTTCCTTTTCCCCTCCTCAGATGTGAGGAGGGTGGGAAGCAGGGTAGAGGATGGAGAGCACAAGCACCTGGCTGGGGAGTGGGATGCCGTGAGTTGGCTGGGAAGCATGGCTAGGGGTTAGAGACACATCTCTGCCTCCTGTACCCTGGCAAGACCACGGCTCCTCCTTCCTCAGGTGAAAATCCTTTCCTGGTGCCGTCCAGCTCATCGCCTGCCTTCTCCCCTTCAGCTTACCTTCCCCTGACTCCCTCCCTCCCTCCTTTCTCAGGGACTGTCCCATCCCTGGCCCCATCAGGGAGGTGGCCCACAACACATCTGCTTTTATTCCTGAATTTTCAACCTCTCTTACTGTTTTGACTTTTTTCCTCAGCATATAAACACATTTATTTCTCTACCATCTTTCAGAGCCAGCTTCTCCAACTTGCACCTCGCCCTCTACCTGGGATTTCTCTCCTCCTGACGTCTCGCTGGGACCCTCCACTGCCTCACTTCTCCCTCTGCCACCCTTGCAGCCAGGCTTCTGTTTCCCCCTCTCTGCTGACACGCTGTGGTCAGGGCAGCTCAGTGGACAAACCAGATGGTCACTTTTCTAGCCTTTCCTCTGTCAACATTTGTGAGGTTGTGACCACATACAAACTCCATCCTGGAAATTCCCCCCTTCCTTAGCCCCTGTGGCATCTCTTTTTCCTGACTTCTTCCAACCTCTCTCGAGACTTCTCAACATCCATCATGGGATTCCCTCTACCCACCCCATTGAGGTCCCTGAAAATTCTACCCATGTCCTTTTGCTCTTGTCACTCATCCACCCATGGCAGTGATCGTCATCTGCATGACGAAGACCACCAAATCTGGTATCTTCATTCCAGAATTGATTTCCTGAGCTCCGGACTGTGGATCCTGCTGCCCACAGGACAGCTCCACACGGAAGTGAGTCTCAAACTCACTTCATGACCCCGTTCCCATCTCTAGGAGGTGCTCTATCCCTGTTTTCCAGGCTCAACGTGTCTTTCTCAACCCCACCACTTATCTCCTCCCTGCATCCCACTGGTCACCAGCAACCATCAGGCTTCCCTGTCTTGTGAATCTCAACCCCTGTTGTCATTGCCTTTGTGCAGCAGTTTCAAGTATTTTGCTTTCACCTCCTTCAGACTGATCTCCTCACCTTCAGCCTTGCCTCCCTCCAACCCATCAGTCATACTCCAGTTGTATATCCAAACAACCACGCCTCTGTGAGGAAACTTCCAAAGCCTTCCTATTGCCTACACAACCAGAGAAACTTGCGTGCTGTGCTCCTGGCCTACTCTCCCACCCTATTCCCTACCAGAAGGCTGCATCCTGTCCATGTCCCACCCACACACAAAGCTGCTTTAGTGTCCTGAGCCCTGCACGCTCTCTCTGGCTTCTATCCCTCTGCATACATTGTCCCTGTGCTGTAACTGTCCCTTCTCCATTCTTCATCCAGAGGCTTCCTACGTTATATGTCCTTCAAGACTTTGCTCGATTCACCTGCTTCTGGAAGCCCATCCTGATGCCTCCAGTTCCCTGCTCTGACCCCTGTCCCTGGAGCATCTTGCCCCCTCCTGGGGCATCTAACACAGCACTGCTGACACTGGATTATAGTATCCATTTATCTGTCTCCCCAACTAAGACTGTGCAAGTTTTGGAAGCAAAAACAACGTATTTTTCTGTACTCCCAGCCTGCGGCCCAGTGCCTGCGATATAGAAGTCATTCTGGAAGCTATATAAGACTAGTACAGTAGGAAGGAGGGTATTAATAAAAATAACAACTCGTATTTGAATAATATTTTAAGATTCACAAATTGTTTTCACAAACACCGTCTCATTTGATCCCAAAAACAATCCATGTGGGTAACTAGGACTGGTAATGTTATCCTCATAGCAAATGTGGATAATTAGTCTCAAAGAGAGTAGGTGGTTTGGCCAAGGCGACAGCTGGAAAGTAACAGAGGTGGGTCTCTGGAACCCACATCTTCCGGCTCTGGTGCCAGACTTCCCTCGTTCTTCGCAGAAATGGGCAGGCCTGAGCCCCACTCCCCCCAGCCCATCTGTGTTTGCGTGAGTACCCTTCCCTGCTGACCGCCAAGGGCAAATGAACCTGGACTCAGTCTCCATGGTCCACGCACTTTTGCTACCTATATATCCAGAACCAATTGGGAGCAGCTGGAACTCTGTTCTCCGCACTCCTGCTTCATGGCCTTAACACGCATAACTAAAATCTCTGAGGGCATGGGAGCTGCAGGTTCCTTCCTTCCTCCTGTCTTCCAAGTGGCATGAGAATTCATACAATCAAAGGCATGTTTTTTCAAACATAAAGATTAATGATCCTCAGCACAAATGAATTACCAGGAATTTTTCAGAATCAAAAATTATAGAGAGAATGGGAAATTAAATCTTAAACTTGAAGAAGTAAGAAAAGTATCAGATTTTGAAGATCATATTCGTGTGACTGGTTTGAAAAAGAGTCATCCTTTCGTAGGTGAATGAGTCACACTGTGATCCAGAGAAACCAGTGGGAAAAGCATATAAGGGTGTAACGGGTGATTCCAGAGCACCAGCTATTGGTGAGGCCACACTAGAAACACTGCCAGTACGGTGTGGCTGTTTGCAACAAGATCAATAGAGTCTCTGTACGCAAATGTCCCCCAGCCACAAAGCGGTTACTGACTTTCCAGATATAATTTGTCTGGGCTTTTCTTTCCTGTCTGTGACTGCTGGTGTTTTGCATGCCAGTTTCGTGGTAAATCACAATGAGAGTTTATTACCTGAGGGATTTCTTTAGGAGAGATGTTACAGTTCGTTCAGGTCACCTGCCGCTCAGGATTTGGTCCCTGAAGGAAGGGGTATCCTGCCCCAGCACAGGTCACTGGCCCCCAAAACAGCCTCCAGTGGGGGCTGGCTGATCAGTCATTCACCTAGGATTAGTGCAAAGCATACTCTGTGCCAGGCACCCTTCCTGGCACCAGAGTTTCTGGGGCAAACAAGATATGCAGGCCGACAGTTCTCTAAGGCCACACGTTCCACCATGGAGAAGACAACAAAAAAGAGAATAAATAAATGAAGGAGAGAATGTCAGCTCATAGTAAATGCTATGAAGAAACTAAAATAGGGCGCTGTGAGAGAAGGGGACTGAAGTAAGACTGGGGGTCCATCTCAGAATGGATGATCAGGGACGGCCTCACTGAGAAGGGGACTCCTGAAGCCAAGAAGGCCAGTACAACAAAAAGCCCAACCAAATTTGGCAGGCCCAGTCAGTGAAGGTGGAAAATGTCCCCACTGGCCAGCCTAGGCAAGGTTTATGAAAGGCTGACCATGGTGCCCAGGGCCACGAATAGGGCCAGTGTCATTTGCTGCTGTTTTTATGATAATACAATTACAAAAACTTCTCCACAGTTGGCAAAGCACTTTAAATATTGGAGGTGGAAGCTAATTCAGAGACAGCTGATTCAATCCCTTTGTTTCCTGCATGAATGAGTGGGGTCTGTGGCACTGGCGGGCTTTGCATTCATTTGGTCATTCCGTAGACATCCTCTGAGCTTTCCCTTTGTGCTCGGTGTGGGGCTGGGAACCCTGGGGGATGCAGAGGTGAACAAAATGGGAAAGGCCTTCAAGGAGATCGTAGTCTAGTGAGGAACAGGTGTGTAGGCCACCTAGGAGGAAAAGTGCCAAAAGCCATCCTTCCAGGACCCCACCTGCATCGAGACAGAGGCGGAGCCAGGACTAGAATCCCGGGCGCCAGACTTCCAGACCTGGGCTTTTTCTGCTTCAATTCTTTTTGTTTTTTTCTTTTGTTCAAATCTCTCAGCTTTGTATTTACTGTTATTTCCACCTGGAAAAACTTCCCCTGTCCCCAGCCCACCCTCGCCTGTCTACCTGGTTGATATTTAGCCTTCAAGTCTCACCTTAAGCTGTTCCTCCCCAGAGCCCTGCCTGAGCCTCCTCCCCGTGGATTTTCCTGCTGTGTTCGCACTGTGTGCTGTGCTGCCATGGGTGTTTCTCCCATCGACCCGCTCATCGCACCGCCCGTGAGTTGTCCTTCATGGTCGCACTGCAGCCTCAGGAGCTTTACAATGTCTGGGACACAGTAGAGGTCAATGAAGTTCTGTTGAGTAAGTAGGCAAACAGGCAAATATATTGAGCTTGCGGGGGCCCCCCCCCGCCCCCCCAGGCAGTCTTTGTCTCTGCCTGTCCTCCCTTCTTCCTCGCCTCCCTCCCTCCTTTCCTTTCCCATCTCCAGGCACCATATCCAACCCCAGTGCACCTGCTTGCTCCACCGGGCTTCCCCGAGACCTGCCCCACAAAGTGCCAGGGAGACTGTTCGCACCGCGCTTACCCGCCACCCAATCTGGGCATTCTGGTTTGGTGAGCGACAGGAGACCCAAGAAGAGCCCTGACTGAGCCCGTTTCTCCCAGCTGCATCCCTGTGCAAAGGACGGGGAAGTCCTCTCTGCAACCCTGTGAATAAGCACAGGTCAGCCCCACAGGGCCACCCATTCCTTAGCAGTTTCCTAAGCACCCCAACAGCACCCACTCACACACTAAGACTGGGAGGGACACACTGGAGCTGTCCGAGTGGCTGTGTCAAGAAGAATATGGGTGTGGTTTCTTTTTTTCCTTTCCTCACTTTCCAAATACTCTGTAGAGTGGTTATGCTACTTTTATAACTGAAATGTTTATATTTTTTAAAATAAGTCTGACAATAGCTTAGAGAAAGTCTCTTCCTTTTCTGAACGCCAGCTATACTGATAGTCGGTACAGCTCAGCTCGGCATTTAACTATTATCTTCCTGACCATCTTGCTCAGGTCTCTCACTGCTAGACTGGCACACGAGACAATCTGATGCTTTTTGCTGCATCCCTCTGCTACGATGAACCCAGGGCCTGCCTGGCATGTTGCGGCTGCTCAGCAAACATTGCTGGGCTTCTTCGCTTGTGCACCAGGAGTGAGTCAGCCCCAGGGCCTCAGCCTGAGGACTGAGGAGAAGGCTCCTCTCCTTCTCGGCCCTGCTTGACCTCTGGCTCCACTCTCTTCCCCAGTCATGACGGCTAACGAGTGTCTAATAAGTCTCTGAATTCAGCTCTCCAGTGGATTAAGATGGAGTCAATTTTGTTGTCATTCGCCCAGTGGAGAGGTGGAGTTTTTTTTCCTCCCTTGGTTGTGGTTGGGCCCTGTGACTGTTTTAACAAATAGAAGGCGGCAGAGGTGCCACTGTGCCACTTTCAGGCCTAAGCTTAAGAAGAGCTGGCAGCCTTTGCTTTTGTACGCTGAGGAGCCCTGAGCTGCCACGTACGAAGTCAGCTACACTGATGAGGAGAGCAGGTAGAGCAGCCACATGGAGAGGGAGAGACCTCAAGACTACATGGAGAGAGCTGCCATCCCAGCGTCCCAGCTGAGCCCAGCCTTCCAGCCACCACGGCCAAGGCGCCAGACATGCCAGGGAGCCATCTTGGATTTTGCAGCTGATGGAGTCTGAAGAGGACTGTGGCACAGCCAGTGACATGGAGAGCAGAAGAGTTGCCCAGCTGAGCCAAGTCAACCCACAGAATGAGGAGAGAAAATAGAATGGCTGTTTTTTGAAGCTTATCAAAGCTGGCTCCCAAATAAAACCAACACAACCTGTTGATAAGACACAGCTGAGTTAATTGCTTATCGCAATAAGGGAGAACACCACCCGGCAAAGCTTTGGCAGTGTCAGAATTTACTGATAATTAGAAGCTTGATTTAAGGCAGTCTTTCAGTATGGGAACATGGTTAGAATTGGGTAAGAATCACCATGTAAGAATCCAAGATTGGTTGAAACAGCGAAGCAAGGATTTCCAGGCGAAGAATTCAAAGAATCTTAGGGCACAAGCTGTCTGTTGATGTTTCCCATTGGGGAGTTGAGAGGAAGTTCCTTTAATGAACCATCAAACCCTTTCCCCGGGCAGGGGACTCCTGGAGATATAAAGTTATACTAACGAAGAAAGAGGAATATTAAAGTTCTGCTAATGAAGACAGAGAGATAGCATGAAGTCATGTTAATATAGACAGTAAGATGTGGTTTATGTTCTCAGTGTCCAGGCTGAATGTGGGACTAGTGGATTTTAGTTCTCAAGCCGCTAAGTTTGGAGAAGGTTTGTTACACAGCAATTAAGGATCAAGACACTCCCAAAACCTTGAACTTCTCAATGTTTCTGTATTTCTCAATTCATTCATTCATCACATATTTATTGAACACCCATTATGTGCCAGACATGGCACTAGGCACCAAAGATATAAAGGAGAATAAGATAAATACAGTCCCTGCTCTCTCGGAGCTTAGATTATAGTCAGGAGTTGGATTATAGTCAGGAAGAGATAGACAATAAAACATTAAACCAGGGACCAGCCCAGTGGCTCAGCAGTTAAGTTTACACGTTCTGCTTCAGCAGCCCAGCGTTCACCAGTTCAGATCCCAGGTGTAGACCTATGCACCACTTGTCAAGCCATGCTGTGGCAGGCGTCCCACATATAAAGTAGAGGAAGATGGGTATGGATGTTAGCTCAGGGCCAGTCTTCCTCAGCAAAAAGGAGGAGGATCGGCGGCAGATGTTAGCTCAGGGCTAATCTTCCTCAAAAAAAACCACATTAAACCAAAAGTTAAGGTAATTTCTATACTGATGACATGTTGTGAGGAAAATAGTGTAATGAGCTAGAGTGTTGTTGGGGGAAGGAGAGAGTGCTGTTTGAGAAAGAGTGGTCAGAGAAATCCTCTTGAGAAGATGACCTCTGGGCTGGATGACCTGTGAATGGTGGAAGGATCCAAAGGGTCAAGATCTCCGTAGAGAACACTAAGGTGGGGGCACGGCCAGGGCAAAGTCCACAAGACAGGAAGAGAACTGCCGTTCTAGGGAACAGAAAGGCCAGCGAGTACAAAACATGCTGACTGCAGGGAACAGGGCCCACGTGGAGGCTGGAAAGGCTGACAGAGGTCAGATCACATAGGGCCTTGACTGTCATACTGAGGAATTTGGATCTGAGTCTAAGTGCCATGGGAAGCCACTGGAGCAGTGCTGCCCAGTTGAGATCAAATGTGAGCCAAGAGCGTAATCTTAAATTTTCTAGTAGCCACGTTTTTAAAGTAAAAAGAAACAGGTGGAATTAATTTTAATATTTTATATAACCCAGTATATACAAAATATGATTTCGACATGTAATCCATCTGCAAAATTATTAATAGGATAATTTACATTCTTTTTTTGGTACTAAGTCTTTGAAAGAGGTGTATATATTATACTTACAGCACTTCTCAATTCAGACTGGCCACATTTCAAGTGCTCCCTAGACACCTGTGGCCGATGACTACTGTACTGGCCAGAGCACTGGAGAGTCTAATGGTCATCGTCCTCCTGGATATCCAGGCTCCGAGCTATCTTTCATTTCTCCCTTCCCATCACAGCTACCTGCCACCATCATCCACCATGAGCTTAGATAATTTCATCTAAATACCACAGCATCTATCCCAACATCTTTACGCCGGCTTAAGCATCTCCAATATTTTGCACATGGGTTATTGCTACATCCTCTGATTTTGACTTTTTGCCTTTGTTCTACCTCCCCAATCTCTCTCCCCCAGACTTCTGATATGTTCTGCTGAAGCACCGCTCCATCTTCTCCCTTCTCCCCTTCAAATTTGCCAAAGCTCCCGCTGCCCCTTGAAGTCTGAACCTGTGGAAGGCCTACAAGACTGCTCAGGAAGCAGTCCCATCCCTCTTTTTGACCTTCTTTCCCATGGCTCCTTTTATATCACACAGTTCAAACCCTGCACCCAGCCTGGTCCACGTCATCACACTTGCCCCAGTGACTTATGAAAGTAATGAAAATAATCTTGTTTTTTTCCCCCAAATATTCTTAAACACCATGTAAAAATCGCAGTCAGACATTGAAAGCTTTCAGGATTTGTTTCCGTTTATTGTTTCCCTTTAATAGTAGTTTTCCTCTCTGTACAAAGCTGTTCTCTATTTTTTTCTTATTTGATAGTTTTTATTTTGTAAAGGTTTTTTTTTTTTTTTCTTTTAAAGGCAATTCCAGTGACCTACAACATTTGGATAGGAGTCGCCTGCTTGTTGCTTGATTTCTTGTTTGTTCTCACCCCAGAAGTCAACTCTTAGCAAAAGTGATGAACGGCAAATGTACGCCTGTAATCAGGGGTCATTCTGGACATGTGTGTGTGTGTGTGTGCACGCAAAATTTTAAGCGGAAGCATCCTGAATTGTATTTTGAGCAACTTATGACATCACTTGAAATTACAAGAAGCACCATGGGATATAACAAGTCCAGGCTGGGAATCTCTACAATCCTCCTTGACTTTGGTTAAGACCTTGTAAGAGCACCTTAGCCACCATCTTTGAAGCATGGTAGAAGGCCCATCCTCATGTTTTTCTTTTTCCCCTAGGTTGAAACATTTAAGTAACTGAATATGTAATTTTTTGCAGACCCCACTCCAAACGAGACATTGAAACAAAATTCACATGATGTCCACATGCCAGTACATGTCACACAGCTGCTCTTGGCTATTTATGGATGTGAGATATTACCTCCAGAGTTAGACTGGAAGTGAACTGAGTCATAAATTGTTATCGAAGAAAGCGTGCACTTGCATCTCTGGAAATTAATATTAACAGGCAAAGGCTTCCCAAGCCTGTTCCAGCTGGAGTCGCCATCCCCTGACAAGTCTTGTCCACTAGCTTCGTGTGGCTCGATTATAACTTGGTTTGGGAGCCTTCTTCAGATTTGCATGTGTTTGATTGTAAATGGAGATCTAACAGCGAACACTTTTTGCTGGTCTAACAGACATATGAAGGCACTTCTTGCCAGACCGCAGGGTGCAGGGCTTTGCTGAGAAAACCTGCAAACAAATCTCATAAAGCTCATGGCTCCCGAGGCCACCTAGAGTCCCCGTCTTCATCTTTTTCAACCTCCTCCCAACACTAAACTCTTACTGAGCACCTACTCTGTGCTGTCACTATAGAGAGACAGATGAATGAGACAGCGGCCTCTCAATCTCTGGGGAATTGAGGTGTAAATACAGTATTTTTTGAAGGGGCCCCCTGAGGTAACTCAAGCAAAACGAATGCTTCTTTTTGTAAAGACTGGGGCTTCCAGGCAGCTGGGCAGGCGAGAGCAGCTGGAGATGCAGAGCAGAGGGGAGAAGAGGCTCCCGGCCTGGGTGCGGTGTTGAGAGGGAGGGCAGAGAGAGGCCGGGCCTGACTGGTTTCAGGAGCTAATGAGTCACAGCCATCAGTCAGTCAATCGTGGCCCAGGAAACGCTGCCTCTTTAAATACCCTGGAGGGGCCAGATGGAGCCAGAAGAACCTGACCTGGAGATGGGCCCTGCCCCAACTCATGGTGACCTTGGCAATGTCCCTTGCACTCATTTAACTCCAGTTTCTTTATCTGTAAAGTCAGAGTGTTGGATCCTTTGATCCCGGGGCTCCTCCAATTTTGAGACCACAATCCCCTGATTTGCCCTCCCAAGAGGCCTGCCCCTGAATACGTGTCTATATGTGCAGATAATGTGAACTATGGAAGCTTTATGCCAGGTGTTGCAATTAGATGCTTATGATTCATGAGGTGCAAGCATACGTGATATGCCCCAGGACACAGAGCCTCTTTCAGGCTCTCATTTATCCCGCCTGTCCCCAGTCTCTGCCCCCTCCTGATTTCTACCTCCTTTGTCTCCCTCTACTCCCCTCTCTGTTTGGTTCACGTTTTAATCATCCATTCATTCAACAAATACATTTAGCACCTACCATGTACTGTGCACTACATCAGGCACCACAATCGATCCGAACCCCACTCTGAGGTGAACTTTCTAGGTGGAAAGGGAGGAAGAGAAGGCAGGGAGGGGGCCCGGGAGACTGGGCTCTCCTGTGCTGTCAGGCTGGACTCAGGAATCTGATGCTCGGCTCTTGAGCTCTGGGAGGGCCCTCTCCTACTGTGCGCGGGCCTGCTGCAGCGGCCATCGATTTTCTGGATTTTCAACAGATTTCCTGGAATGGAGAGAGAAGGATCTCCCACCACACTTCAGACTCAGCATTTCGAAATGAAAGTCGAGATTCCCTGCTTCTCACATCATTGCTCTCCCCTCAGTTAGAAGGAATCTCCCTCCTTCCTCTCTCCAGTGAAAGCCATTTCAGTCCCTTTGGCCTCCTGACACTCAAGGATATTTGGGTCTGTTGATGGGCTACAGAGGAGACAAGTGACCCCAAGAAGTGGAAGGGTGAGAGTGGTTGTGACAAGCAAGCGAGGAGGGGCACTGGCCCACCAGCAGAGGATTAAAGCAGCAGAAGGAAGTCGTGTGGGGGGCAGGAGAAGGCCCAGGGCTCATTGGAGTGAGGCTCCTGGCAAAGCCTGCCATGGGGAGCTGAGTAATCTGGCTTTTAGGGTTCAGGTTACTTGACAGCAGCTGGCATTTCTCTGCCGCCTCCAAGTCACCTTCTTTCCCCTCCCTGTGGCTCCTTGTTTGCTTTGAACTGGGAGAGGCTGTTATGGAATCTAATCAATGCTCAGAGGTGGAGGACACCAACCTGAGAAGACATGGGGCGAGCTCCCCCCAAGACCGTGGACAGAGCAGGCAGACCTGGGCTCCTGCTAGGGTTAAGGCCCTCCCACCATCCCCAGTCAGATCTGGAGATTAACAACCCCACCCCATTCCCCCTCCCCTATGGGAGTGATCACCTTTCCCTTCTGGACTTTGAGAGGCGCCGTCTTACCCTCATTCCTCTTTGTGCTGAGGGGTGTTCCTATATGTAATTACGCAGGCGGTGAGGGCAGGAAGAGGGAGCGTGGAACCAGGAAGCCCAAAGTTTTGCAGCCTCCGAATGAAAGAAGACAAATTCTGAGCTGCGGTGGAGAGGATTGTTTAAAAGCAGAAATGAGTTGGGGTGAGAGAGGAAGGTGGTGGATGTCGAGAGAGACTGATTTACCATGTTCTGGGCACAGACAGAATCTTGGCCCCCTCTCTCTGCAGCCGGATCTCAGGGCTCGCTCGGCCTGAGAATCTCAATCGCTCAACCTCTCTCCTCCTCGCCCCCTCGCCCACCCCTCTCCCTCGCCATCTCTCCCTTCTGTTGCTTCAGTGGTTTGCATCGTCATCTGCCAAACTCCTCAGAACCTGCTATGCACTTCAGCCCCAGCTGTATGTCTTCCTCTGCACTCCAGGAACTGCACAAATAAACCGCTGAGAACAGAGCCCTCCTCACCACAAACAGCACGCGGGCTTCTGCTCAGCCTCTGTGGCCTTGGACCGGCTCCTGGGAAGGGCCCCTGCCTGGGGACAAGCACCGTCACAGCCACAGCCTGCCTCTCTCAAACACTCAGCCATGGGGAGCCCCTGCCTCCCAGATGAAGGGGCAGCTCGGTGGGAAACAGTCGGCTGTGCCCACAGCCACCCTCACCCTGGGCTAAGCCGGGTCCAAGGCATACGGCTTCTCTCCCGGGGGACCAACCATGCAACTCAGTGACCTTGAGAAAGTTATTTTAGCCTCTGCAGACTTCCCTTTCCCTGTTTTTAAATAGATCAGAGATTTATGCCGTTTAATTCACAAAGGAGCTGCATGGAAAAAGGCTGATTTGTTCTGAAGGACTTTGGCTTCCTGAGAGGAACCCAAGGTTCTAGGAAAGCTCCTTGAGCTGCTAGATACCTGTGTATGCTCATGCATGGTGCACAGATGGGTCCATGCTCTCGCCACATCCATTCACCCACTGGGCTATAACCCTGGGCTATTGTTGCATGCACTGCTGGGTCCCCTGCAATGTAGCACTTGGAATAAAGTTAATGCTCAATAAATATTTATTGAATGAATGCACTTGACAAATATTGCCTCTGTCCCCTCCTTGTGCCCATCACTGTGCCCAGAGCTTAGGGACAGCCTCACAGTCCAGGAGGAGACAAACACGTAAACAAATACAGCCGGTCTATTACTGGGTGCCAGGACAAAAAAGACTACAGGGCACAGGGAGGCCTCAGGAGAGGGAGAGCTCAGCTCTGCCCTGTGGCAGGAGGCAGCGACAGGGAGGGGCAGCTCTGAGCTTTGAAGGAACGGGGGAGTTCATTTGGTGGACTAGAGGGGAGGTGGTGGGGGACAGATATCTTCCAGCAGAGGGAATGCATTTTCAAAAGCACAGAGCCCTGAAACAGCATGGTAGCGTCAAGGCACCACGACTGTCCCTCCCTTGGGGCTGGACCACAGGAGGGAAGCAGAGCATTAGGAGATGAGCAGGTGAGGAGAGAGGCTGGATAAGGAGGGCTGGATCCTCTTTTCCAACATTTTCAAGTGATTCCTATGCTTAATTTCAACCTTCTTCTTAGGCCCTTGAAATGTAGTTGTGTTATTTTCCTCTCTGCTGATTGAGGGACTGTATAAGCATGATGGGCTTACAAACCCCTCACAGTAACTCTGAGACTTCCCCCACCCTATGCTGTCTCTACATCGAGCCCCACATGTTGGAAAGGATTCCTTAGGGGGCCATATAATTTATCATCCAAACTGGTTCGCTTTGGAGGAGTGAATGGGGTCACTATGAATAATTGCACCAGGGCAACAAGCAAGAACTAGGACCATTCTGGGCAAACCAGGACATATAGTCATTCTAGCTAAAGACCTCCGGCTGCCGTCGAAGGGTTTTATAGAGGTCAACCGTGTGATCAGATTCATGTCATTGGAATTGAGTTATTCTCTCTCCCTCATTTCTTCACAGAACAGAGGGACTAAGAGGATAAGGATGGTTCAGATGGTCCCAGAGGCCCTTTCCAGGTTTAGCATTCTATAAATCTGTGTTTGGCAGGCATTTGAACAGTCAGAGAGAGGGTTAGATAAAACGTAACCTCAAGGAAGTTTTGGAGGTGGACTGCTCAACCTAAACCATGAGGATCCATACCAATATCCTGTGTTTTTAGTTGAAACCCAATAAAAGTGCCCAAGAAAAACACGCCCAAGGAAACTCCACTCATCCACCCATCCAGGAAGGGAAAGGCGATGCCCATGAAAACATTCCAGTGAGATTAAAACCCCGCTGCCAATCAACCTCTCCCATAAGTCCTAGCCCTCCCTTTCGCCTCCTCCTGACTCTGGTAGCAAGCAGGCAAGATGTGATTGCATCTGTAAAAGGATGTGAGCATGAAGTGGTCACGTTAGTGATGTTGGTTCAACTCCCGTAACAATCCTCTCCCTCTTAAAAAACCTGTCTTAAAAAAAAGTTTTCATGGCCCCTCATTGCCTGGAGAATTAAACACAAACTCTTCAGCCTCCCTTTCAAGAGCCTCTACAATATGAAGACCACCCACTATCTTCATGCAGCCTTTCTTGCAATCCTATTGGAATTCTTGCTGAATATACTTTATATTACTCTCTCTAGTTGATAACTCATGTTCTCTCTACTCTCTACTTGTCAAAATCCTGCCAATAAATTTCATCTCTTCCATGAAGCTTGTCTTTCCTCCTCCCTCTCTTCAGGTTATCTAAAGAACTTTCCAAACTCAATAATAAGAAAACAAACCAACCAATTACAAAATGGGCAAAAGATTTAAACACACATTTCATCTTAAGAAGAATATGGATGGCATATGAAAAGATGTATATTATTAGTCATTAGGGAAATACAAATTAAAATCACAATGGGATACACACCCATGAAACACCCACTAAAACTAGTCTAAAACTAAAAAGACTGACTATATCAAGTGTTGGCAAGGATGGAGATCGGATTCTGGTTAGCATAACCAGAACTCCCACACACCACTGGTGGGAATGTTTTTGAAAAACAGTTCCTTAAAAAGTTAAGCATAGGCCTAACATATGGACCCACTCCTAGGTGTTTACCCAAGAGATATGAAAGTGTATGTCATTATAAAGACTTATGCCTGAATATTCAAGGCAGCTTTATTTTAATACCCAAAAACTGGAAACAATAGAAAAGTCTGTCAATAAGTGAATGGACAAAGAAATTGTAGTATATCCATACAATAGATTACTACTCAGCAATAAAATGAAATAAATTATTGATATATGCAACAACATGAATTAATCTCAAAATAATTATACTGAGTGAAAGAAGCCAGAAAGAGCAGAGTACATCCTTTATGATTCCATTTATATAAAACTCTACAAAATACAAACTAACCTACAGTACCATTAGGCAAATCAGTGGTTGCCTAGAGACTAGGGGAAAGGGAGATGAGGCAACTTCTGAGGGTGATGGATATACTCACTATCTTGTTTGTGTTGATGGTTTCAGGGTGTATACATATATCAAAACTTCTCAAATTGTACATTTGAAATATGTGCAGTTTATTTTGCATCAAATATACCTCAATAAGCCTTAATTTTAAAAATCAGACACAGTCTGTCATCTAGGAGCTCAGAGTCCTGGTCTCACCTAAGAGACACCACTTGAAGAAGAGAAGGGTTTTCATTTGTTTGTCTATTTTGTTTTAACCTCATCTAGTCCAGCATTCTCCACTCTCACTCAACCCCTGGCCTAACAAACTGACAATGCACTGCTGTTCCCACCAAGTGTCCATACCCACTGTTTGATCACTTGAGTGGGAGGGGGACACACCTAAGTGTGATTTCTTGAGACGTGCACCAATTGCTTCTGAATCACAAGTGGATCTCTGGGATGGGATTGAGGGACTGGTCCCCAGGGCCTTAGACCTGGAAGACACCTTCAGGGTCTTCTGGTCCCACCTCCATCCAGAGTGGGAATCCCCTCTACTTTGGAGTAACCATCCTCTGCTGTCTGACAATGTCTTCTGGGATCGGAAACGCCCACTGATCACTGCATATAAAGCAACTTGCTACTTCCAATGGGGAGAAACCAGAGTAAGACAAGAGGAAGTGGAGAGCTGCCCCTGAAACCCATCGGGGTCCCTATCCTTTCATTCATGTGATTCCTTAGGAATCTTAAATTTGGGAGAAAATCAATATATTTTCAATAGTCAAATATATTTCCTTTGGCCTGTGATGGAAGAGGATGGGAAGAAGGGGAGATGGATGGATTTGAAAAATGAGATTTAAGTTGCCAACAAATTCTTTAAAAAAAAATTTGCATTCATTTCTGATCCAGTGGGCTATTTCTGTTGGTTGGAGTGGTTTATATGTTAGCTAACTCTATTTTTGTCTCTTAATGTTTCATTGCCTTGGTTTTCCCAATTTTGTGATTGAGAATCAAGAGCCTTGGCCTGCCATCCTCCTGATCAGCAACAAGGCTCATAAGAACTTTGCGTTCTGGAGAGAGAAAAAAAACTCTGTGTGGAAAGACCAGGACTATATCATTTCTATGTCACCTCGACACGTTTTCAAGCTGGGTGATTTCTCTGAAAGGGAATAATCTTTTAAGCTCTCCATCCAATCTGTTCTCAGACAGAAGTTTAAACTCTCCCCCATTCAAAGTTTATCAGACAGATCTACAGAGACTTTTCCGGGAGGATGTTTACAAAGGACTTGAGTGTTGCCAAGAAAAGAGAGAATGGGAAAGATAGCATTTCTGAAGGGCAGTTTCAGAGGCAGGGAGATTTGAACATAAAAGGACCTTTCTTTCTCTTACTAACAGGTTGTCCAAAGGCCAGAGGTGGGCAAAACCATTTGCAATTGCCAGCGAATGGCTTCGCTCTTGGAGAGGGTCCCTCATGATCACTTGAGCCAGTGGAGTTCGCCTCTTGGGGTAGGGCAGTCTTGCTCTCCCTTGTTACAGAATTGGAATTATTCCAGACATTAAAGCCCATAGTCTATTTTCCCCCACTCCTCTGCTTCCTTTTGAATCTCTTTATTTCTCTGGGAGAGCTTCTTAAAAGACGAAGTCTCGCTTAGTAGCATTGTCATATCTACGTGACAGTGTAGCAGTAACCATATGTGAATAAATTCATCTCCTTTGTGGGGAGGGGAATTCTAGAACATGGTAATTATCATATCTAATAAATCATATGATACAGGCACAGAGCATCTTGAGTATAGCTTCTGTCATATCAGAATTATTTTGAAATTGTGTACCTGTTCAGGTATTTAAAACTCTGGAACTTTCCCCCATATTCAAACATACACTAGTACACAGTTGAGTCTGGAAAACAACTTGATTTAATATACCATTTTAGGGGCTTTTATTTTTTATTATTATTATTTTTTTTTTGGTGAGGAAGATTGGCCCTGAGCTAACATCTGTTGCCAATCTTCCTCCTTGTGCTGAGGAATATTAGCCCTGAGCTAACATGGTGCCCATCTTCCTCTATTTTGTATATGGGATGCCGCCACAGCATGGCTTGATGAGTGGTGCGTAGGTCCGTGCCCAGGATCCCAACTGGTGAACCCCAGGCCTCTGAAGCAGAGTGCACAAACTTAACCCCTATGCCACCGGGCCAGCCCTGGGGCTTTTTTTTTTTAGTTCTAGAAAAAGAAACACTTCTGCTGCCAGTCTTGGGAAACAGATTTTCTCTGTGATAAGAATGACTTCATTTTATCCTAGAAGAAGATGAGTTTTCATCATCACAATCAAGCAGGAGAGAAATGATTCCCAGTGAGCTGCATGACAAGTTGTGTAATTGTAGTTAATTTTAATTAACAAGCTCCATTTTTGAATTGTTAATCTCCATTCCTTTCATTTTAGTCAAGACAAAACTAAATGGATTTCCACAATGAGTTTTCCCTTCCCCCTTCAATGAACTATTCCATCTCAAGTGTCTCATAGAGAAGAAAATGAATATATCCCATTTGTCATAAAGCTGAAGTCTTCAACTGCAGGAAGAAAGACCTTGTTATTCACGGCAACGTCCTTGTGTGACAGAAAGAAAACCTAAAAGAGACCTTCTAAAGAGCATCTACTGCACAGGAAGAGGGTAGGAGGGCTGTGTGTTGGAGGGAAGAGGGGAAGAGGGTTGACATTCAACAGGAAATTTCCCCATACGCTCAATAAATAGGGAAATCCATAATATTAGGTACGAAACTCCAGCCCTCAAGTCATGTAACATACGAACAGGAAGAAAAGTTGGGAACCAAATTTAATGTTTCGTGACCTTGTGCTGAATATATGTATATAGTCTTCATTTTTTAGAGCAGTTTTAGGTCTACAATATTTTTTTAAAAGAAGAAAAACTGTGGGTCTCAATATATAGCCAAGAAAGACCTCCAAGAGCAAAGAGTAGTGGTAAGATTATGGAGAATTAAGCCAAATCCTAGAACAGGCTTCATTTATCCAAGCTACTTCCGCCCACCGCTGGGTGGTAGTATGATTGAAACCTTCATTCCCAGGTAAACTGTCCTCAAATCCCCCCCATCCTCCCCACTGATGTCACTGATGTCACCATCTGGGAAGAGTGGGTGTCTTTTGAATTAACAGGATGCTGTCCTGATCGAATGTGATCTGCATGACAGAGGAGATTGTTCTACTCTTTTCAGTCAACAGTTTTCCATCTAGATAACACAGAGGTGGCTTAGAAAGAGGTCACCACGGGGCATGTGGCCTGTGCTATCGTCCTGGGCCTGTTTAATGACACCAGAAGATGGGCATAGACAACCCAAAGGAACGAAATAAAAGTTTCTCCATTAAATTTTAATCACACCCAGGTGTCTCCTGCTCTGCCCCACTGAAAATAAAAAATCTTACAGTTGCCTGGTGTCACCTTTCGTCAACTAGAACTCCTCTGAGCTACAAGTTTTGAAAGATTTTTGCCTATCAATGTGCTACTTTTCTTAAATAGTAATTCAGTTTCTCATCTTTCATGAATCAAAGCTACTAACAATTACAGCTGCCTTCAGTCAAGGGCTTACTGTGGATCGACCCCAAACCAGTCTCTGAGGTGGGCATTATTATTGTCCTTATTTTACAGACGAGGACAATGAGGTTCAGAAAGATCAAGCAGCTCCATCAGTCATTTGGTTAGGAAGCGGATGAGCACAAGCTTGACCCCAGATCTGGCTGCTGTCAAACCCCAGGTGATTCATCACCGTCCTCCTTGGCCCAGCAGAGCTTCTAGTTTGCAAGAGGTAGTCCTTGGTGTGACCAGACACACCCAAAGCAAGAAAGGGGGCATCTTGATGAGACTGCAAACCCATAGCCAAGCAAACGCGGAGTTCTCATCCAGCTCTTGGAAATACAGAAAATTGTTCACAGACCTCCTCTCATTTTCCACACCTTTAACCATGCCTAGAAGTCTGTGCACTCAGAGAGAGAGAATCACCTGCAAAGTCCCGTCCCCGCACCTAAGAGACAGACACTCTGATCATCAGTGGGGCTGTGGAGTGGACACGTGTGCAAGCACACGGGAAGCAGGCCCTGGCCCGCCTCCACTGTTGGGGACCCCTGGGAAAGGAGAAACAATATATGGGCTTAGGCCAGACATTACTTCTCATTTTCCTTATTATTTTCCTCTGCAAAATTGCTTTCCCTGGGATTCTATTCCTCACTGCCCAAGAAGCAAAGGCTTCAACCTTGACTGAGAATTCTATTGTTTTTTAATAATTTCTTCAGCTGTATGATACTACTAGCGTGTGACCCGGTGTCTCTAAGATTTCAGAGATACCACATGCTGACTGCTTCTGGCCATTTTGAAACAATCTGAGATCTAAACCTACAGGCCAAGGAATACAAAGAGAGAGCTGGGCCATCAATCATTGGCAGACATCCCGAAGTGTGCTTTCTCACACTTCAGAGGTCGGGGTGGGAGTAGGGGCAGAAGAATGTGAGCATTCAAAGAGATCTTACTGGGACTTCAAAAATGAATTCGTATCAAAAGATCGTTGAGACAAGCCGAGTTGCTGTTGAAAATAATATTTGAGGAGCACCGTGAACCCAGTTAGTTTCTCTTTCAGGTGAAACGGGCTAGGAGCTTACGTTTCTGTTGACTGTTAGCCACTGGGGGCCTGGCCTGAGCCTATTCATCTCTGTGTCCCCACAGTGCCTCATATACAACTTGGCACACTGGAGTATTAAGGAAATATTGGCTTTATTACTAAAAATAAAGGCCAGAACCTCCAGGGTTGGACTGGAAGGAGACTATCTAAGAGGCAGGGTGGGGGTCCAGGGAAGGCAGGTCCAGTGACCCTCATTGCATGTCTAGGACGAGCCTTCTCTTTGGAGTGGTCTTCAGTCCTCTCCTCCCACCTCCATGTGGTCTCAAGGAAGGGCTGTACTTCTCCCAACATGCTGGCCCTAAAGATCTTTCCAGCTCATCTTAAGCCTGCTGAGGAGAGGCGGGAACATCAAAAAAACAGATTCCATCAAGGGAATGGAAAACCACAAGAGGGAGGGCACTGAAAGATCCCCAAGTCTTGAGAATCTGGTTTGGGAACATGGCTTTACATATCAGCAACTTCCGCGTCACCGTGGGCCCTTTTCCCTGCCCCTGTGTGGCAGAGAACGTACTTCACCGAGCCCCCAGCAGGGCTGCCCTAAGCCTCCAGAATTCTCCATGTCTGCCACCCAAAGACATTCCACACCAGTGATTCGGAAACTCTACAAGCATTACAGTTAATTCTGCATTTTTACAATATCGTTAGAAATATTTTTTCAAACGAAAACAAGAAATAATATGCACGTTCCACTAAATTATACTGCATTAACACATCCGAAACCACTAACAGAGAAATCTGTAACTCATTTTAGGGCTGACCTCAGAATAAAAAGTTTCTTATCTCTGTATACTTGAGTGTCCTGGGATGGCAATGCCACCCTCAAAACAAGTTCCCATTTGCAACCTGGAAACGGTGCAACAAAACAAATTACAAAAGTTTATCAGATGTGGAGGCTGATAAGACAGCAACTGTCACCCATATTCTCCAGTTTCAAAACTTTGTTTTTTTTTTTTAGTTTTTTTTTTAAAGATTTTTTTTTTATTTTTTCCTTTTTCTCCCCAAAGCCCCCCGGTACATAGTTGTGTATTCTTCGTTGTGGGTTCTTCTAGTTGTGGCATGTGGGACGCTGCCTCAGCGTGGTTTGATGAGCAGTGCCATGTCCGTGCCCAGGATTCGAACTAACGAAATACTGGTCCGCCTGCAGCGGAGCGCGCGAACTTAACCACTCAGCCACGGGGCCAGCCCCTCCAGTTTCAAAACTTTGTGTTAGAACAACCTCTTGTTGAGTTTATGATAAATGTCATAAATCTGAACATACAGTACAAAACAAGTTTATGCTGGCTAAACACCACTTTTATTTGTTTTATTTATTGGGTTCACATTAGATTTCTTTTTTTCTTCTTCTTCTCCCCAAAGCCCCCCAGTACATGGTTGTATATTCTAGTTGTAGGTCCTTCTGGCTCTGCTATGTGGGACGCCACCCCAGCATGGCTTGATGAGCGGTGCTACGTCCATACCCAGGATCCAACCGGCAAAGCCCTGGGCCGCTGAAGCAGAGTGCGCAAACTTGACCAGTCAGCCATGGGACCGGCCCCTAGATTTCATTTTTTAAAAAGAATTCCGTGTCTCAAAAAGTTTGAAAGCCCCTCTCTAGAGCAGCAAAGGGAAGTTGAGCCTTTTCACCTGCTCCCCAGGACCCCGAGACCCACTATCCACAGACTTCACCTTATTCTTGCAGGACTGAACAGGAAAACTGGGTCTCGTCGCAATTCAACTGAGGAGGCGCCTGAGCTGGGGCTGCTGCGGGGGTGGGAGGGAGGAAGCTCGTAAGCGAAAGGCTCAGTTGGAGCTTAATAAATAAAGCCTTTTGCTGACCCCCCACCTTAAGGTGCTTTTCTTGGGTCTGAAGAACTACTTCCGCCTTCTAAAGCTAAAGGACGTCATGGGTCAGTCCATTATACACCGGACTGCGGCAGGGGCAGTCATCAGAAATGCTTTATGGCATCATGCTCTTATATACACAGCCCCAGGGGCTGCTGGGACTATTGTACAACGTCTTTGCACATCAGCACCGAAGGGCGCTTTGGAATGACCTAGACCAACCTGGCATTCACGTAGGTGCGAGGAAGCTGAGCCCCGAGAGAGAAGTGACTTACCCAAGGTCACCTCATGCATGCCCCCTCAACTCTGTGTCCCCCTCTTTCCACAATGCCCTGCTCCTCACTTGTAGTGATGATCAGCTCTGAGCAGGGAGAGTTAACCTTCATCCTGGAAGATGTTAGGAGTGATTTATATGTTTGAATGTGGCTAATGGTAGAAATAAAATGATAATGAGAAAGCAACACAAGCTTTCAAAGTGACAGTTCACTGGAGCCAACATTAAGCCTGATTTGATCACACCCATTAGAGATTTCAGCTGAACGTTACAGGGATGTTTCTTGGGAATCTGTCTGATGGATGTGGCAGGGTCAGCTGCTAGGGATAAAGAACCATCACTGAAATGTCCAATTAGCCACAATTTTATCAATTATAGGTATGAGAGAATTTGAAAAGCTACACGTAAATCAAATTATTTCTAAAATGAAGCAGCTCTTTTTAAAAATTCTTTTTTGTAATGCAAGCAGTTTTACTGTATTCGCCTGTTTCATCAGTAAAAAGGTGTTTTGGGAGGGTGGATTCTATTTATTAATTGTTTCAGATTTTTTATTAAAGTGAGAGACACCAATATTGAGAGAGTTAAGTCTGGAAGGTACCTTCGAGACTATCTGGTCTAACCCCTTCCTTTTCCAAATAAGGCAGCTGTGGTCCAGAGAGGGGAAGTGATTGTCCCAAGGTCACACAGCAGTCAACATCAGGGTCAGGTCTACAAAACGTCTCCAGACCCAGGTGAAGGCTTTATTTGATTACCAGCCAGCGGAGAACTTGCATCGTGAGTTGCAGCAACAAAATTACAGAACTGAAAATACAAAAGAGCACAGCCCACTTCCTTTATAAATCATCTTTTTTTTTTGCTTTTAAAAAAATAATATTCTTACTTACTCAATTTCAAAAAAATTTTAAATAGCATACAATAAGACACTTACAATCAAATCAGGAAGAAAGAAAGAAAGGAGGGAGGGAGGGAGAGAGTAGAAATAGGTGTGTATGTATGATGCATGCCCACCTGTACGTGTGCGTGGTCTGTGAGTGAGATGGGGACAGTCAAAGAACACGTATTTGAAATTAAAACATCGAATAAGAGCGCTCATTAAAATCGGTTCAGATCTGAGTTTCCTGGTAATAAAGTTTGCATTTGCTTATTTATTTCCAAAAAAGCTTTCAGTAGAAGTATGAGCGGAGACTCTCCTTTTCTCCCCTCTAACTCCGTCACGTCTTCCTACACACCAGCCTGAGAAGCACGGAGCAAAAGGGCGGCCCATTGGAGCTGAAAGGCTCCTTAGACCCCAGCAAGTCCAACCCTCCCGTTGACAGGGGGACAACCGGAATCCCAGTGAGGGACGTGTTTGCCACGGTAATGGCAGAGTCCAAGGAAAGGTAAGCGAGTGCTGGAGAGACACTGGACACCTCAGGTCTGAGTTTCAGGGATGTTAATGATTTAAACAAAAATTTTTAACTTGTTTTTACAAACATCCCCAGTTGCATAGCAACAGAGAGCATCCCTGACCCCCATTAGCCACCTTCCCAGGAATCTTGAGCCTGATGGTCACAGAACTTCTCACTTCCATGGTGTTTTACTAAGTATAAGGTCCTTTCATGCCTGGCATCTCCCATGGAACGGCAGCTTATCCCCAAAGCAGAAGAGGAAACTGGGCCTCAGAGAGTCAAGCTCGGCCAAAGTCACACAGCCGGGCAGTGCTGCTGGTGGATCAGCTCCTGATGCGACTCAGGCTCCTGAAGGCAATTCCGCTCTCCTCCCCATGAAAGAATGGAAGACACTGATGGACGAACCAATGCCTCCCACTGCCCACTGACAAATCCCTGCAAGGACATTGTGACAGCCAGTTGGGGTGCCAGCTCCATGGTCAAAATAAGCATTAAGCATCTGACATAAGGGCATTTAAGTGAAATGGTTGTTTTAAAGGGATATATTTTTTCAAGGTAAAAGATTCAAGGGCTTCATGTCTGAATACTAACAGGTACCTTAAGAGATGACCTGCAAATTTCATGCTCCCCTAGGGGCTTCTGGTTAACACTGTTCACGATTCAAGGGAATTAAGAGAAACTTCAAAATGAGATTCACAGAGTCTGGATGAGGCAAGAACTGAGGGAGGCATAGGGAACAGTAAAACAATTGCCAAGCATGGAAAAAAAAGATTCTCTCTGTAGTCAGGATCCTACCTCTAGGCCTGAGGCTTAAAGTTTAAAATCATCATCATAATAACCTGGCATCTTGATTCGATTTAAGTATGAAAAGTCAGTGTCTACAGTGGGCTGCTGAGCTAGGCGCTCATCCTGCTGGGGCACCACGGAGTCACTGCCAGAGATGCAACGTAACTGGAAGCAGAGAGAGCCCAGCTGGGGCGTCCCCACTGCCCCCTCCTCCCCCCACTTTGAATCTGCAATGCTGGCGGTTAGAAAAAGTGTCTCCATCTTGTAAACACAGCAAATTTGATCTGGAAGTCATTGGGAAAACATAAACACGGAGCCTCCTGCGGTTGTGTTTACACTGCTCCAGCCCCAGTGAAAGATGAGCCCGTTATGGAAGGATGGGTTTTTTTCAAAGGCGCTTTTCTTTTTAGAATGAAAATCTCGAGAGGTACACATTACCATGAAGACCAAAATCCCGACAGAGAGACCACAAGTGCATGAACAAGTGTGGCTTAAGCAGGTAACAGACATAATGTCACATTTTTTCGGGCTGTCTTCTGTCGTTGCAGAAACTCTGCTTTTCCGAAAAGTCAATTCTTTTTGAAGAGGAGATTAGCAGTCCTGGAACAGTTTCTAAACTATATCTTCGGTTAAGAATACGGTTTCGTGACTATTCCATGTTTCCCAAATCCATTCTAAATTTGCAGTAACACGGACCAGGAATTGAGGCCAGTTCTCTTTATTCAGCCAATAAATAAATGGAAGCACAGATCGGGGAAGTGACTGACTTAAGGTCACGGAGCTAGTTAGCGCCAGAGGCAAAAACAGGACTGAGATTTCCTGACTCCTACTGGTTCTTTCAGGATATGTCTCGTCCAGGTGTGGCTATTTACCTAGCGTTTTTGTCAGAGGGCATTTATCAGATAGTGTTCTGTATGGAGCAGGCGATGGGTTTTATTCCACAAACATGGGCACGAAAGAAACACCACGTGATTTTTTTCTGAAAACAAATTAATTCTGATTAGGAGCGTCCAGTTCACCAGGCTGGTGGAGAAAGTCACCCATTTGGTCAGAAGTGAGCGAGGCTCATCCTGGAAGCACGGTGGCACCACTCACCTGGAGGCCATGGAAGGGCCTCTGGGTATTGATGTTCTCACAGCCCAAGGTCCTGACAGGCCAGCCGCTCACCTGCTCCTGGGCCGTGGCCTCTGCAGAAGATGGGGGTCCATGGGCCCAGGGAAGCTCTCCCTCCTCCCTGGGGCCCTGGGAGGGAAGGGAGTAAGGACCTGGACCGTTCAGGTCTGAGAGAACCTCTCCAGCCTGCTTTCCACCCCCTCCCCTTCTCTCACCTTCTGCTCCCCAGCCTCCCCCGGCTGCCTCCTTCCTCCATTAGCACAATCTTCTCTAATGCCAGGCCAGAAAGGGAGAGAGAACGATCTTGAAGAACTCCTGCTTTCAATCCTGTGGCCCAAAGAGTCCTGAAACAAGGAAACCCAAAGGCCAATCTACCTAGAACGAGAGAGACAAAAATGCAGTAAGAACGAATTCCAAATGGACGTCTCAATAAATTATCCTAACACTGGGATATGCCACCTTTACCAGGCAGAATTCAGGTCCTTTCCTAAGGAACACGATGCATCTGCACAGCCTCTGACAGTCTACAGGGCACTTTCGTACTCACCAGCTTGCTGCATCCTCAAACATGGTGAGCTAGTTCTTTGTCACTCTCTTTTACAGACGAGGAGACCAAGGCATAGGGACATGATGAGATATTTGTGGTTCCTTTTTCCCGGTCCTGAGAAGCGGGTGGCAAGCCATGTGTGTCAAATATCCTCTGAACTTGGCCGAACTCTCCGTAAACTAACATTTGTCAACACCACTGGCTGACATATTTCCTCTGCCACTTCTCAACAGCCGGATGAACTTGGGTGAAACAACCAAGGGCAACTTTCAACATTCTTCTTGGGTAAGCTCCATTGTTTGTGTTCACTCAGCTTCAAGGTTAAAAAAAGAAAAAAGGACCAAAGATCATAAATAATCCTCCTACTTTTGTTCCTCCACAGGATTTGAAGGTTTTGGAAAGAAATCCAGTGAATGATGAAAAGAACTGTTTCAATTCCCTCGGGCTATTTGGTTGAGGTCATTGTACCCTGGCACCAAGAGCTGGGAGACTGTCCTCGGTCTCTATTTGTCTCCACACCCCCTCCCCCACCGCCTGATTCACACCTCAACACGGCCACGACATTGACTGGCCTCAACTTTTTCATCTCCCTAGAGAGACAGGCTATACACCTACAAGAGCTTCCTCAGTCACCACTAGGGTCTGTTTTGTGTCTCCCCCACATTCTAGTGTTGAAACTCTGACCCCCAATGAGATGGTAACAGGAGGTGGGGCCTTTGGGCAGCAATCAGGACGTGAGAGAGGAGCCCTCATGAATGGGATTAGTGCCTTTATAAAAGAGACCTGAGAGAGCTCCCTCGCCGCTTCCACCACGTGGGGACACAGTAGGAAGATGGCAGTCTATGAACCAGGAAGAGGGTCCTTACCAAATACCAAATCTGCTGGCACCTTGATCTCTGACTTCCCAGCCTCCAGAGCTGTACAAAGTAAACTTCTGTTGTTTGCAAGCCGCCCAGTCTGTGGCGTTCTGTTCTAGCGGCAGAACTAAGGCAGACACTCAGTGCATCCTGTCACTCCACAAACATTCACTGAGCAGCTAGTACGTGCCAGGCATTGTCTTAGGCGCGTGGGACATGGTCACAGACAAAAGTCCCTGCTCTCCCAGAGCTCCTGTTCTGGGGGAGGGAGGGCACGATGGATGGCAAATAGAAATAAATAAATCACATTCTGAGTGGTGATAGCGGCATGAGGACAACACAGCAGGGTACGGGGGTTGTCTGCTAAAGAACGTGTCTCCAGACTAGGTTTGTGGTGTCTCTGATGCGTCTTGCTTTGCTTTCTCTAAAACTGCTTGTGCATGAAAGCAGAAATCAAACCATGATGATTTGGCATCCTGACTTTTCTGAGGCTGTTCTTCCACTCCATTCGTGATTTTCTGAGCTCCTCTGGGGTTCCTTTCCAGCTGGAGCAGAGGGGAGAAAGCCTGGAAACTTCTGCACCGCTGCCTGGGAAGTAAGGAAAAGTCACCCCTCATCTTTGCAACCGGTCGACTCGTTAGCCTAGGCCACAGTCTGGAAGCATTTAAGGACCATTTGTTTCCACAGGTAAAAGAGAAAAAGTGAAAACTAAAAGTATTTGTTTGTTTAAATGCTTGCGTTATTAATGTGGGTTTTGTGATGATTCTAGCTAAAGTTTTAAAACTGCAGGTTGAGAGTTACATGTAGAAAACACGGGCAGCATTTACTTTTGACCTCATAGTTGACAGTCAGTTTATTCCATGTATGAATGTTGAAATGGTAAAACCCAAATAACCAAATTAAACAGAAAGCAGGTGTAAGGGCTGGGTGCCATCTCCCTGTCACTAACCATTGCAACGGCTTAAGAATTGTTGCTAGTAAAACTTTGTGTGGTTTAGGTACATCCTTTAGATTTTATGAAAGTTATGACTATCCATGTAAAGAGCCATTTATAATTAAGTGAGAAATAAGTAATTAAAAGTGGATTTTGGGAAAAAGAAAAAAAAAGGAACGTCTCCAGAAGGGCCTGGGGACACTGATTTCGAGGACTCCCGTGCACTCCAGCACTGTCTCATCTCCCTTCCTAGGTCTGTGAGCAGGCAGGGAACACGAAATAATCAGCACAAACGTGTCCTGAAAGCTGTACAGGGCTGTGCCCATCACAGAAGTACTGCCACACAGAAGCCACCTGGCCTGGGGCAGGTGGGCATAGGGGGTGCAGCCCAGCAGCCCAGAACCGCACTGCTGCGTCTGCCACCCACTCTCGGTGTGGCCTTCCCACGTCACTTCACCTCTTGATCCAAGTGTTCTCATTTGTAAAATGGGACACAGCAGCCCGAGAGGTTTCTCTTTCCATCCATCATTTTTCCCAGCACTGAACTCTCTGAGACTTTTAGACTACCTTGTCACTTTATTTTTGGTTCTAACTAGTTAATTCAGAAAAATGACCCAAAGAATGGCTGGTAGACGTGGTCAAAGATTTGCCTCAGAAAGGAATGGTACATGCCTTCTCCAGCAGAGGATGAAATTAGCAACCTAGAAATCAGAGCCTTTTGCATAAACTTTTTTTTTTTAAAAGATTGGCACCTGAGCTAACATCTGTTGCCAAGCTTCCTTTTTACTTCTGCCTAAAGTCTCCCCGGTATAGAGTTGTATAGTCTAGTTGCAGGTGCTTCTAGTTGAGGCATGTGGGACGCCACCTCAGCATGGCCTGACCAGCGGTGCCATGTCCGCACCCAGGATCTGCACCAAGGAAACCCTGGGCCACCGAAGCAGAGTGCGTGAACCTAACCACACAGCCACGGGGCCGGCCCCTTGCACAAACTTTATCTGGGAGAGACAGTGTCAAAAAACAGTCAAGAAAAAGAGCAATGAACAGAAGCTTATCTTACCAGACCTCCCTTCACGGATCTGCACTGTTCAATATGTTTAATATCTTACCGCTGAGCACCCTCCAACTCTATTGGTGGTGGTTTGTCCTTTTGAGAGTATAATCAAAATAAAAGTATGCATACCCTTCAGCTCAGCAATTCCACTTCTAGTTATTTTTTCTAGAAATACAGAGCAAGTATATATTCATAAGTGTACAAATATATACATGTAAATTCTGGAAGGATACACCCAAACCGTTGATAGAGGTGTCATCTGGGAGTAGAGCGAGGAGGAGAAGATTGGGTTTGGGGTGGGATAAAGGAAGGGTGGGGGTTTTGCTTTTCATTCTAAATGTATATTTTGTTCAAATGTTTTAAAATTTTTAAATAATCATCTATTACATAGATTTAAAGAAGTTAAACCAATAGCAGTGTGATTTCAGTAGGCCATGGCTGTGTTCTGACTAAAGTCTCAAGTCTAGTATCACTCTAGGATATGGCCTTGCCCAACTCTAACATGTGCTCCAAGGCCACCATGTTCAGGCATGCAGGCTGTGCACTGCACAACTCAAAGGTTAGCCATTCACACAGTGCCCTCTGGATTGTGAAATGTGGGACTCGTCCTCTTGGGGAACTCTTCGCCACCTCCAACCCCATGCCGTCACATGCACTGTTCACCATTTCCCACCTATTTGACGTCCTTTTGTGCTCTTTACGTACACTGGTCCTGCTCTTAGAAAAGTATCTCTTTGCTTTTCCATCCACAAACTCTCACTCTTTCAAGATCCAGTTCAAAAATCTTTCTTCTACAAAGGTCCTTCTGACTCCCCAGCAGGACTTGTTCGTTTGTTTTGTTCCTATGGCTGTGACATCTCTTACCGAATTCGTTTGTCGATTTTCCCAGTGCACTCTTGGAGGCCAAAACTTAACGTCACGTCCATTTTGGTTTGCTCAGAATTCATTGCTTGTAATACGGATGATGGACTGAATGACCGTCAGTGGCAACCCTAGAACCTTGGTTTTTTGATTGATTGTCCAAAAGGTTTTTGCCATTAGACCAACGTTTCTCAAACTGCTCTGCAAAATATTTCTCTTAAAAAGTTGACTCTAAATTTTCAAAAGAGGTTCAAAGGGCAAGTATTAGGGAAATGTTGTATTACAGGTAAAGAGTTTTCTTACCCTACTCTTCTCAGAGGCTTTAACATGCTATAACAATTCTGAATCACCAAGAAGGGGAAACAGGAAACCAGGTCGAAGCTTATTTGACTTCTGATTTACTTTTTCACAAGTACCTTCCCTCTCAAGAGGCCTGGTGTGCTTCCTGTATGCTCAGGTTCCACCCTCCCTAACCAGGAAAAGGGGGAGCACTGGTTTCATGCCTTGGGAACCAGGGGAAGCGAAGATGGAGGGAAGGCTGAGGCGAAACCTCACAGGAGCCTCCATGTCAAGCTGGATGGTGGGAGCGATTTGGTTGGCAATAGGAACACACTGGAAGAAGTCAAGTAGAGGCTTTGTGTTTTAGAAAGTCACCCTGAAATCACTGGAGAAAAAGGGCTGAGAGAGAGCAAGGGTGGATGAAGCAGGAAGACAAGTTAGGAGGCTGTTGCTATATCCTGGATAGAAACGATCGTGGCCTCATACGAAGTGGTGGCACTGGAAATGAGAGAGACAGACAGGCAGAGAGAAAGAGAGAGATGAACAGAGAAAGTTACAAGGTCGAAGTAGCAGGACTTTGGACTTGGTCAACTGAGCACTGGAGAGTTGGGGGTGGTTAGGCAAAGCTGAGACCACTGTGCAAAATTGGGGCTGACCCAGTGTACTCCACTTCGGCGGCCAGGGCTTGGTTCCTGGGCATGGACCTACACCACTCATCCATGGCTGTGCTGTGGTGGCGACCCACATATGAAATGGAGGAAGATTGGCACAGACGTTAGCACCGGGCAAATCTTCCTCAAGCAAAAAGAGGAAGATTTGCAATAGATGTTAGCTCAGGGTAAATCTTCCTCAGCAAAAAAAAAAAGAAAAGAATTGAAGGGGGTGTCAAAAAACTCAATAGCCAAGATAAACAATATTTTTAAAATAAAAATTATTTTTAAAAATAAAAATGAATGCAAAACATTCCTGATGTATAAAATATTAAAATTTTAAATAAAGACAGGATCTATTACTGATTTTTCCCTTTTGCCTCAGTTTGCAATATGGCTCAGCACGGCACTGAATGTAGACGATTCCCAGGTTACAAAATTGTGGTGCTTAAAACAAAGTCAGTGGGGGATGAAATTGGTTTAGAGTAGAAGTTGGCGGGTGTCATTTAGCTGTTTCACGTGTGTTCAGACCCCTCAAGCTGCAGCTGAGGTCCATCTAGTGTAGACATAAAAGGCAGTGTCCGAGATTGCGTGGTGGCAGAGAGAGAAGAGAATTTTGGCTTAGGATGGAGACCCTCAAATTCACTATCTTCTCAAAATGAACTATAACCTTTTCTTAGC